CATTACCTTGTTGTAAATACAGATAGACCCTGAGCCCCACCAAAGTGCTGTACTATGATCTGTTTCCTCCAATAATGCAGCAAATGCAGATCTTGTAATAGAGGAAGAAGTGTTCCAGCAGAGGCCCCTAGAATTCCAGCAGTGGCAAACTTTGTGCTGCCTTCCTTAGAAAGAAGGAAAGAAAGCATCCTAGTCAATCTCCATGAAAATAGTTTACATGACTTGTGAGCAGCCCATCTGGAGCCTCCTCAGATTTCAAGTTTGCAAGAAGGGAATTTTGGAATCTGCTCCAGAAATTTCTGGAGGCCAGAAAAAAAAATCAGAAAACCCCTGAGAACGATGGCAAAAGATAAAATGGGCAGACAGGCAGAAAAACACTGGAGGACACTCAGCATGAGGATCAAACACTTACTCGCTAGTTGTAAATTGATAATAAGGGATTTTAGACTCATCTGATTTATAATCCTAAGGGTCAGCTCCTTACAGCAAGATGCTAGCTTCTCTACACTAGACCTGGTCCTTAGATGGTGTAAAGGTGACAGTTTGTTCACATCAACACAGATGCCAGGGGGACATTTCTTTGGTGAAAGATGGCTGAGAATTCCACAGCAGCTATCCTGAGTCTGACCCTGCTTTATCAAAGTCAACACATAGCTAAAGCATACAGAAAACATGTATCAGCTATTGCATACCAAGCTCCTTACAAACAGATATACATCCTTTGACATGAAACCATGGTTTTCAGTCCTGTTTCTAAGGCAAAAGGGTTTATAACAGCTTATTTATATTCAGAGGTTAAATCTCATATTTGTGAAGTGCTGAGATTATTTGTATGTATGCTACTCAAATTAATTTAAAAAAACCTTACTGGTGTGTGTACACATGTTCACCCTTCCTTTATGTATATAGATTTCTTTATGAATAGAACACTTATAAAAAAATCATAACTTCTGTGAAACATACTTACAAGTTTTAAAAGATGCCATGGTCATATGATAAATAATGGCTAAGTTATGAGTTCTTCAACTGGTAGAATGGCAGTAATAAATACATTAAAGACTTTCCAATGCTAATATCCTTGAGTAATTAACAACAGTATTTCCTATCCTGTAATGCATGTCATGGTTCTGATCCACAAGGCTTAACATTTTTTTGCCTGCACACAGGCACGCACAGACTCACAGAGCAGATGTGAAGTCACAAGTCTCTAATGCTATTCATGCTCCAGTTCAGCAACTGTGAGGGTATGCTGAAGGCAATGCTGTGACTAACACGGCCAAGAAATTCCTGAGAGAACAAGAATGACTATTAACAGTTCTGAGAAACTCTTCCTCTGGGTTATCATCCCCTAGAGAGAGATAGTGGGTTTTAGCGGTCTTAACCAAACAAACACCTCTGAGAAACTAGACATATTCCCTCTGAGAATACAGCGAATGAAAAACAAAAAAACATCTTATGTTAAAAGCAGTTTGAAGCATTCATGATACTGTCAGTGAACTACTTGGTCTTATTTCTGCTTTGTGCATCAGGCCAGAGTTTCCATACTCCCAAAGGAAACTATGCATTGGTTGAAAAAAAGAGAAAGTCCCATTTACCCTACTGTTATCCTTTCACAGCTGGCTTGATTGAACAGGGGTGAGGCATGGGCACACGTAGTGACTACTATAACCACCAGAAAACAATGCAGTAGCAACTCAAATGGTCGCCTGTTGAAGTGATTTACATCTGAGACACTCTGCTTACACACATCAAAGGAGCTGAAAGGGAACTTGCTTGAAAACTGCATCTTCTTGTAGCTTTCTCCAACTCTTTGAGCTAGCTGGCAAATGAAAGATGTGATCCAATCCCAGGGCACTGAAAGCCAGAAATAGAAGTAAAAAAACTACCTGACTAATGGTTTAAGATCATTTTAAGATTTCAGAAGTGTCAGCCTCCTTTTTTCTACCACCACCTCCTTACATTGCCTGAAGTGACTCTGCCAGACTAACACAGGTTAAACACACAAAGTAACACTTTCTGGTAGGCATGAAGTAATGAGCAGTAACAATTTCCTCAACTGCCTCATGTATTTTAAGCTGTATTCAAAGCAAATGAAGTTAACAGGGTAGAGCGACAAGTTTTGAGACTACGAAGCAAGGCTACAACTCAACTGCTGGTACTCCCACAGATTTCCCAGCTCAGTCTTCTGTGCTCCTTTTGTCTCTGAAAAAATAACACCAGTAAAAATATTTCTAATGTCCAACCTTTAAGTTTTCCATGTTATTTTTCTTAGTGTGCTGAGACAGTGATTAGCACAATTAAGTACTGATTGCAGACTAAAGACCATTATTGGCGCATTACTGTCGCTCTCTATTTGCTGGTACATAGCATCAGAGCATCCCTTAAGAGAACATTTGATAGCATCACTCATCTATCTGCATTGTCATACAGTCCAGATGGTTGCAGTATATGTAGGCAACCAGGAACCAGAGCAGCAGGAGGAATACATCCTGCTGTAATTTTCCCTCTGGTGCTAATCTTGATGCATTTGGATTAGTCTGTTGGTCAGGAAGTCTGCAGCTCTGGGTAGATGCACCCAAAGACCTAGCAAATTAAATAAATGAGAGCAGCTGCACTCAGTAGCTTGCTAGTTACCAAATGGCCAGATTTGCTCGTAAAAACTCAGTAGAAGATGACACAGCCCAGCTGAGTGACAATTCCCTACTGTGCAGAGTGAGTTTTCTTTTGAATTCCACAAGGGTGGCATTCTGTTGCAAATTAGTCTGTTACTAAAGATCAACTCAGAAATCTGTGTACTTCAGCAGATTAACTATTAATATGATGTACAAAGAGGAAACAAGACTTCTTCCATTTGGCAAATGCAATTTTATTTCTGGATTAGTTCTAAGAGTTAAAATTTTAAACATTCTAACACATGTACCCTGCCAGCCACATTAATTGGCATACTGCAACAATACTGCAAATGAAGAAAGTCGACATAATTAATCATCTCCATTTAAGTACAGAGTTCTTAGGAACATGATTGTTATTTTTCTGTGTTACAGAAAGGAGGGTTTCCAAACCTTGAAAAGGCAAGACTTCAGTGGGAATTTGTTATGCCAAAGAACTATACACTGGCTCTCATTAGTCCAGGTAAGAAAAATCTGAACCCAAAATGAAAAAAAAAATACAAACTGGCAGATACAAGGAAGGAACGAAGACAATGACATCTCTAAGGAGATATCTTGATAATATAAAGAAATTACTAAGTCTACAACTATAGTCATACTTATTTAAAGTTAGTTTAGTATAGATTTTTATGGTCTTGAATTTATTTGAAAAGACATACAGCCATCAAGAGTGAGATGTTACACTTAGTGACTTCCTGCACAGTTTAGTCACACCTACAGTCTCACTGAGAACAAAGTACACAACTGCAGACTGTGAATCACATCCAAATTTTCCACCCACCCATTACTATATGAGGGAGTAATTTTTGCCACCAATACAAATACTCGGTAGTATAGCTGTGGCTACACATAATGATTTTATCTGGACTACTTGCTAGCTTTTACTTTGACAGTAGAGAAGATTATTTTTACTGTATAAGCATCACCAAAATGTTTCCTTATAATGCTAGCACTCCTGGTATTACTGGTTCTTCCACCAGCAGGGTTTTTATACTCAAACAACTCACAGCTGAGCAACACAAACGGACATTAAGAGATCTACAAGAATATGAGTGAGAACCGAAGTTGCATACATACATTTCCATTTCGCCATGGAAAACCACTATGTACAGAACAAAAATATAATCCTTTTCGCACCCAAACTGGCCTGTGAACGTGTAATCACAAGTGTTGCATGTGGGAACAGACATCTGTGTTCTATCTTCATTTGTCATTTTGGTTTCTATTTCCAGGAAAATTGGAAGATAATTTTCAAAATTTGGCCCCCCAAAGTAGCAAAAAATAGACTGAGTTCTCACAGACAAAACTATGCTCACTGGCAGTTCTTCTCGATGATCTTGCAAAAATTTCTTGCTGTATGTCTATAGAATGATTTGAAATTACTCAAGTTACCTGAAGAATCTGAAGTCTCTAGTTCAATTTACAGGTCTGACTGTTCACATTTCTTTCACATAAAGGTGCATTTCATGTGGTTATTAATTTTCTATTAATTTACAGAACAGCAGGTTTCTGCAGGGGAAAGACTTCATTACTCTAGCGTAGCCTTCTTTAAAAAAACGTCCTGTGGAAAAAAAGAAAAAGAGATAGTGAAACAAATGCTGTTAGCTGTAGTGCAATTTTTAGTTTTTCTGGTAAGCAGAGTTATGTATAACTAGATCCCAGCTGACTCCTTTTGATTTGTATTGTATGTAATAATTGAGAAGACCACAAATACCCACATGCAACAAGAAATCTTACCTTGGTTCTTCCAGAGATCTCTGACTGTACTTATAGTAATTACAGCATAGAGAAACCATACACAGTAAACTGAGTTTGTGACACAAGAATAATTTTGGGACAAACCCATTGTACAGCAACAAATTAACAGAGGCAAACTTCAGTGAAAACCAGACAGTCATGAATAATTGTTTACAGGCACACTGTCGTCTAATACAAATGGAAACTTGTTCTTTGGACAAGCCTTAACAAGGAAGCAATTTGTAGTTACTCATATACTTATCAATTCACAAAGCCACAGCAGTGGTCCACAGATAAGGAAAACAATTAGATTAATCCTACTTGTTTAGGCAGAGCCTATTTATTTTATAGTCTGGCAGATGATGAACCAATTCTGCAGAGGACTGCTAAGGGACATTATGTAATAGAAACTAAATACTTATATTTTAATAGGACAGCCCAAAGAACACTCCAGCATGCCAGGGACAAAAGCAAGTGTGGCATGCAACGCACAGGCAGGCACATGCTGAAAAAAACCCCAAAAACCGCAGCCTCACGATGGACAGTCATGTTAACCCAGGTCTGGCTATTCACCATGAGGGAACACTGCAGTGGCTACAGCTGCAGGAGATACCCTTGTCTGTACACAGGTGCACTGCCTTGAAAAACCTTTCTGTGTGTGTTGGGACTGACTGTTGATGAGGGAATAGTAGGGCTAAATATACAAGATATGAAAACAAAAATAATAGTGACAGTTATTTCCTTCCTCGTTAGTTTAGGCACAGGTATTAAACACAATTTTACAGCAATCTTCAGTCTGTGTTAGCCAGTAGTACTATACTGATTTACAGCAAATAACACTCTAGTATTCTACATAGAACGAGAGTCCAGGTTAACAGGACTACGAAACTTTCCTCTGCCATTTTACTTGGTAGTAAGGATATCTTCTAATCTCTTCCTTCACTCAAACTAGAAAACATTGGTCTTGCTTTTGAAACTGTGTGCCCCAAGTAAAGCAAGGTGTATCAGCTTGATACCTCTATCATACTTTAAGCCATGGATTCTTCTGTTTCACACCTATGCTTATTGTCTTTAAAAAAAGGACTCTGTGAACGTCACAAATTGCCAAGACACCCAAATCACTTGGCTCTTTTGAAAATTGTACACTTAGGTTGGCTTAGACAAAGGTAGTAACTGCAGTCTAATTAAAAAAAAAAAAAACCCACAAAAAACCCCACAACAACCCACAAACCAGAACTAAATGTGTGGTTCTGATGAAGAATGCTTATGGGCATTTGTTCTCCAAAATTATGATCTATTGGACCACAGTAAATGATCCAGACTAAAGTAAGCAATTTCTAAAAAACCCAAACCCACACCCCACAAAACCCCCCACTCTCACCACTCCCCAAAAAATTCTCAAAATTTAAATCACAAATATGAGCATGTAGTCACATATAAACAATTCTGAGAATCACCATTTTGAAAAGTCTGGGAACCACTGCTGTAATGCATGATAGCTACTTATAACTATCAAATTAGCAACCACGTGATCCAAAAGGCTATGTAGTCCACATGAAGTAAATACTTGAAATTTGCCTGATAAAAAAAGCAAGCTGCATAGCCTATTGTTACTTACCTTTTAATCCCCAGAGAAAGAAAGCTTATGCACTTACATTTCATCATCGTATTCCTTTGGAGGTGATGCTGCAATGACTAAGTCAATCCAATCCTGGAAAAGAAATGCACAAGCAAACGTGCTGCTAAATACTGCTGTTAGAGATGGTTAGTGGACTACCATGGAATATCAGAGAGAATCGGGAAGGCCATCTATTCCTGGGAAACCACAGGAAGCAGCAGAAAGGGGTCTATTAAAGACCTCTGCAGGAAGACCATTTCAAGATTAAGCTGTTTGACTTGTACCCTGAAATTAAAGAAAAATTCACTGATCTTGCAACAAGCTTTTAAAAATAATTATTTTAAGAATCATCCTGTATTTGGTTGTCTTGGCAATTAATACAGTTCTTGGTGAGAAAACACTGTAGCTGAAGTGCAGTGTTGCTTGTACATTAAGAAATCAAAGATAAGATAAGCTATTATCACAAAATTCCAATCAGCTTGCAAGTAATTTTCAATATCAGAGAAAGTTTCTACAGATAAACATACTATAAACACTCAGAATGTAATGTGTTTAAATACCAATCTTGACATGTGGCTAAATGCCATGAACTTTCACAGTGAATTACATGCATGATTTTCAGAGATGCTATGTATCAGTATCTTCTGCAGATTTCAGCTCACTTTGGTAGTACATGGCATACCTATTACTTTTGATGTTTGCAACCTTCTTTGTGTTGATGTGACAGTGTCATGAAAGAAAAGGATACCTCATATAAGCATTGGAGGTAGAATGAAAAAGTATTACAGGACACTTACCCCACCCATGTTCCAAGCTTTTGCTAGAGTTCCCTGTGCTTCTGCCAGCCTGCTGTCAATTAATATCTTGCCATTTACGGCTAGTATTTCATCCCCTTTCACTATGCCTCCTGGTGAAAAGACCAATAGGGTATACATACATGTAAGCAAAAAAATTTCTGAGCCTCTTTTCTGTCCCATATTTATGCAATACTGAGTATAATAAAAAGTGTCTTCACTGGATGTGAAGGCTTACACTAAAACTTGACATAAACAAGAAATATGCTACAGGCAAAAACTAAAGGAATTTTTAGGCATGGAAAACCCACACTGATCTCTTATTGATCATGGCCAGTAAGAAACTAGTTGAGTAAGATTCTCTCTAGCAGCAGTTTGCCTGAGTAATCTATCGATACGGTTTACAAATTGTGGTCGATTGTAAGCTGTTACTACTATGAAAATGGTAGCATTACTTAAATACCTGAAGGTGTAAGTGGCTTTTGTCAAGGGTTTGCAGGACTGTCATTCCTTTGCAAGAGCATGTGTAACATTTAGTCCTTAGAACTGATTTTGATTTGCTAATCTGGAATGAAGCACAATCAGCTAACTGGGACTGGATTTGAAAAGGGGAAAACACAGATGGTAAAGGGACAGCCTCAGCTATAGGAGAGCCTCACCACAGTGAAGAGTCAAAGAGAAACAAAGTACCTGAGAGATCAAGTGGCTGAGATGTTTTCACAGCAAGAGTGACTTGAACTTAGGTGCTAGATGAGACAAGGTCAGCAAAGGGCTAAGGAGATGTTGTCCTGTCCATCTACCTGGTCATCACCAGGGTTTTCAAGGAAAGGATGAGAGATACTGGCCACCAGGAGCAAAGCCTGTGTGTGTCGGTATGCATGGCCAGAGAGCAAAGCTGTTAGCCCAGAAGGCTCTGTCCTTTAGTGGGATTTTGGGAGTAAAGTCAGGAATTTTACAAATCAAGTCACTATTGAAAGTAGCATTAAGACAAAACTAAGCAGTGTAGTGTAGCCATAGTCTAGTAATTGCTTTGCACATGCAAGTACTACAAATGTCATTGCTTGGAAATTGTGAAATAATGGAGACCATACTCTGCTTTCTATAATTAACAGAATACCCCAGATAACCAGGTCTTTGTTTGGTTTTCAGTTTTGGGTTTTTTCGGGGGGAGGTTTATATCAGACTGGAAAAAGGGGAGTCCTTATTAAGAGAACAGCTCTACACTTTCAGGCCATGTTACTAAAAATTCTGTTATGATAAAAATACAGTAGCCATGACCATTTCTTTTTAAACACTATTTATAAAATATATATAATTATTAATTTAAGCAGCACCCTTCAAACCACGAGTCTCTCTCTGAGCTGCCCTTAGAGCAGAGACAGAACTTGGCTGCCTTGGACAATCTAAGTGTGCCTCTCAGTACTAGGCATAGCTATGCAGTCAGCCAACAACTCTCAGCCAGCATTAAGGAGCCACTTTGCAGCAGCATTATGAATTCCCCTTTGTTACTCACCATGTTTGTCTGCAGCACCACCCTCATAGATGGCAGACACGACTATCTTTCCAATTGGAGAATCAATTCCTCCTTCGACTGCAAGGTCTAATGATCCTTCCTATTAAAAAAAAAAAAAAAAAAAAGTTTTAGTTCAGCATAGGCTGTTAATTTTTGCCATCAACGGGAGCTTAACCTTTCCTTCTTCCCAGTAAATGGGACTGTACATGAAATGCTTACACAAAGCCTTTAAATACCAATAAAATAATATAGTATTTACCTTTTTAATTCGTAATAGCCGTACATCTTTTCCCATAATCTGCTCTGGGGTAAACTATGAAAAGATAAAATGATTAGTCATTTCCACCTCAGAAACACAAAACAACTAGGCTGATCTATGCAATTTATGGGAGGAAAAGGGGCATTTCCCTCCTCCAAAACAGTGTTAGAGGAAGATCAGAACACCAGATCATCTTTTCCTGTGAAATAAATAGAAAAGACAAATATGCAAGCCCCAGCAAACCAACAAGCAAGAATCTTACACCCTCCCAGCCCTCAAAATCAAGGATGTGATTTTACCAACGTATTTCACATTAAACAGTGAGACATATTTGAATTCTCTCCTTACCATTGAATATGGATCAAAATCTTCCAAATATTTCTGGAAGCCCTGAGAATAAAACAATACTTAATTGTAAAAACATCAGGCTCATGCACACACTTAACACACAAACTCCATTTTATTTCTTAGTGAGAGAACATACAATTCTGTAAGCTATGAAAGAAGACAGTAAATGGAGAAAAGCACAGAAGGGTAGCAAATAGTCTGTCCTGACAGTCAGAAGACATTTCAAAACCTTATGACACATCAGCAGTTTGAGCTAGTCATACTATGGATCAATTCTGAGGAATGGTTTAGCACTCGTCAGCTCCACAGCTCCTCTCTATACCTGACAGAACAGAAACAAATCTTTAAAGCATCATGGGCAGGTATGTTCTGCCACACTCTTCTGAGCAACTTTTCTTGGGACTATCCCAGGCAGAAGTCACAGGCTCCAATTTGCCTGTCAGCAACACCACTCCAAAGTATCTGGATTTTAGGACCCTCTTCCAGCTCCCTTCTCTCCTTTCCATGGAGTTTCAGGGAGTCTGCTCCATACCACAAGCGAGCACAGGACAAAAACTGATTTTGTTTTCATATGGTTCTGTGGAGGACTTAAAAGTTTTGGCAGGGAGCGCCTGAATGGGGAAGATAATATTGCAGTTAGGTAGAGCACATTTTAAGCTTTGAGAGCATTACCATTATCAGACCAACAATGCAGGGAAAAAGCAGTTACCTTTTCTGCATAGATGAGAGTTCCCAAGTCAGCAATTGGGAATCAATAGTGTTTGAGTGGTGGTTTCTTGAGGAGTATTAGGAGTTACTAGGTGAGACTCTATAGGCAATGCTGGAGATTTATAAAAACTCTGCACTTATCCTGCATGTTGAAGTAAGGACGTCAGGTCTTAACAGAAATTTTTACTGAGGCACCTAAATGCGGCATCATTCTTTTAGCTTCCAGCTGCAATAACATGGGGATATGGGAACAACGCAGAACCATACAACCCTTTGTTGACACAGCAGGCAAGCCAGTATCTGATGCAGGCCAATGGTTCAGTGCATGATCAGGCTTGATATATTCGTTCTTGCCATCTTTTCTACTGGATCCATCTGATGACAAACTCTATTCCACTCTCAGACTCAGATAAGCCTTTTTCCACTTGTAAATCAAATGCACAGCTTAAGGTTTCTCTGGTATCTTAAAGAGCTGGCTGTTAAATAACAAAGTTGTAGCAGAAACCACTAATGCCTCCTCCTGTTATCATCGTTATCATCTCTCTCAGCTGCCTGTATAAATTTGACATGACTATGACTGACCCTTTGGGGTCAGATCTCATCCTTACCACCAGGGCCTTTGACAAAGTCAGTCAGCACTACTACACAGGTTGCATTAGCAGACCCTCAAATATACAACAGTGCTGCCCATTTGTCTAACCACACTTATACAGACCATGCAACAGTGGTGCTGATGACTCTTGCATGGACTGGCAGTCATTACACAGAGGCATACTGAATTGTACAGTGCGAACCTTGGCTTTCCTGCAGGCTGCCCCTCTCTTCACCTTTTCCCTGAGGGCAGAAGACCAACTTAAGCAAACAATTTGGTTGTTCAGTGTTTCTTCTGAGACAAAAGAAGCATTTGCAAGGGTTGAAGCATGACTTTGTCCCCCCAGGCTCCAGAGAGCTAAATCTTCAGGCCTCTACTGCAGAACTTTTGCTTACTGCCACAAGTGGGGTACTTTCATAGGGAAGTAGGTATTAAAAGCATCTTTGGGGAATAGGAACATGAGAGACCTTATTTAGGATTTAAGTTAGTATAGGTTGCATTACATGTGTTAACTGCTAATTTTGAGAAACAAAATAAGTGGGAATTTGATTACAGACTTCAGCAAGGGTAGAATTTCACCTTTGGGGAAAAAACCCCAATCATTCATTTACAAAGTGTATTGATATTATGAATACTTTTACTAAAACTGCAAGAGAAACATTTTACAATGATAGCTACCTAAACAACTAACAGTTTGAATAGCTGAATTTGTATTGACCTTTGGAATCACAGCTGAAGTAGACATCTATGGTCTTGGAGCAAGCAACTTAGAGGAAAGAACTCCAATCTCAGCCAAGTCACTAATTCATTATGTAATCTAAAGGAAGCCACTGAAGTCTCTTTGTCCCAGGTCACCCTCACGAAAAACAGATGTTGCCCTTGAAGAAAGTTTTCCTGGGAAAATAATTTTTAAACAGGAAAAAACCCCACAACAACAACAAAAAAAAACGCTGCAAGCAAAGAAGCGATATGATCTGGATCCAATAATGTACAAATACAGCTATGATACGATGAAGACATCCGCTGAACTGAATAAATCTTCCCAGAAAGGGGCATCACAGATTCTGAGAGCAGAGAGCACACTCCATATCCAAACAGGTAGTAATTAACCAAGCAACACCAAGTGGAAACCACAGTGCTAAGCCTATCTTCCCACTACTGAGGACATCTCGGGCAAAAGAGTTCAGACCTTTCTAATCCTTTCTTGACTTAACATTCATAGGACTGAACATAAGTAGAACCTGGAACATTAATATGTTTGATTGCACTGAAACAACTATCTGTCTGGACTTCTAGATGAAAGGGAAAATTACTACTTAAAAAAAGTAAAAAACCCAACCATACCATAAGCATCTAAGCCAATGGCACTACTCACTGAGGTTTCTAGCATCAAATAAATACCAATTGAGACCTGACTGAAATAAACCAAAAAGAATTAGAAGAGAAATCTGTGACCAGATTTAACAAAATTTTCCAAAAAACCACACTGAGAACAAAACTGTTATATATACAGAACATGCTAACATTTAATGGCAACTGAACAACCTCAGAGTGTGAATTATCTCAGTCAAATGTAGTCTTCCCTTCTAGATAGAAACTGATCAAAAGGAGAAAAATAATCATTATTAATCTTAATAGTTCACCACTCAAAAGCTCACACTGTGAGCTCAAAACTGTGCACCAACATTTTCATATAACATCGCAACACATCTAACTTATTTTGCACAGAAATTGGCATATTTAACAGCAGCAGAGAAGTTAAGCAGGAAATTCACTTCAAGGGACCATCTATTGAACCACCAGTGAACCAAAGAGGAAGAGTTGAAAACTTCATCACTATGACAGAGGAAGGCAAGGAAAGTAGTAACACAGCAGAAAAATCCTACGCAATACAGAAAGGCTATGTGAATAAGTGCTTTCCACCATCAGTTCCTCTGTTTTCCTACCAATAACTATGTTGTGATAATAGCTCTATTTGTTAAACTAAGAAAATATTTTATTACTGAAAGCATTGGAACTGGAGGCTAAAACAAACAAGGAAACCTTAGGAATAATAAAAAAAAAAATAATTTGCCAGTATCAGGTCAGCTGTCAGTGTTCAATTATCTTAAAGATTGCACTGACCATATAAGTAGTCACAGATAGTTCAACCTGAAGGATTTACTGTCCTCTCATTCATCATCTGTCTAGACTAGCAGGAGCCACAAGCACACACGGGAAGTTTAAAAAGACTAGCAGTTTTCATGCACTAGGGCTGTCTTGCATCCTCTGTTTTATAAAGTGGTAACAGGATTAGAAAGGAAAGTTTTAAATCTATGATCAGTCAAAACAAGAAGTACCACACAAGACACGGAGAATGTTATTTTACTTGTTTTTTGTTAGATCTAAATGATGAATTGTAAACCACCATCCTTTTAAACATCTCTTGTGGCTGCAAAAGAAAAAAAAAATTGCCAAACCAGATATTAACTTTTTGCTGTAAATAAGTATCACCTATTCACAAATAATCTCACTGCTTTTTTTTTTCCTCTTTCAGGGACTGAATCACACTTGCACTTGTGTGCTTGTTCCCTATACCATTTAAAAATGAGAGAACACAGACAGTGAAATGGTACTAAATATAAAAAAAAAGGGAAACTACATGAATAATGCACATTTCCATACCACAAGATTTCTTAAAAATATTTTCTGTGGCTCCTTTTATCCCTAATTTCTACAGAACAGTGCTGGGGTCTCTTCTCCATTATTTTTTTTGAAAATAATTGAAAAAAAAAAAAAACCACAGACAAAATGCTAGACAAGTAATTTCCAAAATATTGAAAAGTCACGATAAATATATGTTACACATTTAAGATTTGGTCTCCTAGCAAGGAATATCCTATACTGAAAGGTGAATTCCATTATTAAAATCCTCATTAAGTTGATAAGCTGAAAGAAAAAATATGTGTATTTGGGCTCATCCTGAAAGAAGCAATTATCTAAATACTAATTACTAGTACAGGTTCATTCTACATAAAGAAAAAATCCTCCTGAATTTAACTGACTTATTTCTGAGTCATCTTGCTTCAATTTGGATATCTACAAATAATTTCATAATATAGATTAATCACTGCTGGATTTAATTTGATTGTGTTGGGCTTCAATGATTTTAAGCCCATCTTGATTCTGTTTTTCTTTTGCTTCCAGTGCCTTAACAAAATAGTACACTGTAGTTTGGAATGCAGAACCTCTTACTATGTTACAAAACTTTTCAAAACCAAAATGGGCTAAAAAAAAAAAAATACACAAAACAGTCCTCACACCTCTCCAGCCTCCACTCAAAACCCTGCATCAAATCAGGTAACATATCTGAATCTTCTGAAACAAGAACAACTTTCTACAGACTAAACTATGGTATTTACATTTCCAAATTAAATTTGCTTTAAAAAAAATGAGTGTATATCAGTTTCACTACCGATGCTATCAGTGTCCTACAGTCATACCATTACTTGGAAAAATGTATCTATTCCTGAGTTAATGAAAGATTTGTAGTCTGCTTTTAATTAATATAGAGACTGAGATTTTGTCTTGAAGGACTTTTGGGCAAGTCTGGCAAGATTTTCCACAAAGCTCTTCAGCTCCTCTTTAGCCACTTCAAAGAAAAAAAAAAAATTCCTCTTGAACACAGATGGTTTTGATATAGCTATTTCCAATCATTGCACACCTTACCCACACAGTACCTAAGTGCCTGTCTGAGGTCCCCTGACTGCAGTCCTGCAGAATCAGGCTTTGAATCTTGCAAATTAGAGGAAAGCTTAAATATTCATTCCTCCTTTCAGAAATGCTACATCCAATCACGAAGGAGTGAGGGAAGAAAAGATCTTTAGCAGCAGCAAGTGCATCGAGGCCTTCTAACTCGCACAACAGGATGTTTGTGATAGTTTGGATAGCAGAGACTAATGCTTACTTCAGTTTTGCTTCTCTGAAAACTCCACCACTAAATCATAACAATCCTCTCCTATTCTCTGAGCCAAAATTTAATTAGCTTTGCCATGAGTGTTTTCCAACTCACTCTAGTACAGAGACAAACACACTGATTTTGACCCAAAGTAGCCCTCTGCATTCAAGGCTACGCTCAAGGTTTAATCCTCCCCCATCATTTCCCTGTTTCTAGTGAGAATAACTTCATTTTCGCAAACTGTTAAAAGACCTGGGAATTCTAACCTGAATTCAGTTAATATGAAAACTTAAGTCACAACAGAGACTTCATTGCTCCTATCTGGCCCAACTACCTTCCAGGTAAGAGGAATGTTTCACCCATTTTTGCACGTTTATTTTATTCTTATGCTCATGCTTTTAATCTTTACTAGTGAATTGCTCGAGTATGGGCTCACTTGGTTAGCTGTTTGAATCAAGTAAATCCATCAAGATCAGTTTCTAGAGTTTGGTACTCATGACAGCTAAATTCAGATAAAAACAAGGTAGAAGAAATTATGTGCATTATGTCATGTTAAGATATAAAGGTGGGAGTTCCATAAAGCATGTGAAATCTAGCAAGAAGCAGGGTAGGAAAAGATATTTTGCCTTTAGTGATACTTCCCACCACTAAGAGAAGCTAAACCTGTCCTGTATGTGAACCACTGACTTAAATAGGGACACTTCCTCCCAAAATAAAAAACATTCCTTCTGCATGAAATCAAATTACAATTCTTACACATTTCTGGAGACAGGCAGGTACCTCCTTGTCTGTTTTGTCATACACTGGCCTTTTAATGTTTTTGATAAATAGAAGTAGCCTCCCTCTTTACTTTGGTATCCACACAAGTCTGACTCCACATACTACTGTGACTTCATTGCAGCCAGAATGAGTACTCTTTACTGCATTGTCATAAAAGGAAGTAAGAGGTAACAGGTCTAGAAAAACAATTTATAGACTGATGCTTCTCTCAAAGTCCTATCAGAACATTGCTCTCGCTGAAATTGTGATCTTCTAACCAATATAAGGCAGTTTGGGGAATGAAGATGATTGACATCTGAAACATTTTAGCAGACGTGATTTGGAAAATGTGCATGCATGCATAACAAATCATAAGAAATTTCCTTATGGAGGTGGATCTTAGTGCCAATTTCTCAAATTAATTGTAAGCCATCAGTAAAAAAAACCCACAAGCAACATTTTCAATTTGTATCAAGACTGTCTGATCACACATAAGGGTATTATCAATTTTGCAAACTAGTTTATATTTGCACACCAGGTATTTATTTTCAAGAGCTAGACTACATTAACTGCAGATTATGATTTTACTCTGTTCATTCCTCCCCTAAGGAATTTCAAATTGCTTAGAGATGCTGAATTACTGAACACAAAATGAAATCCAAAGCTCCCATACATACAACTGAAGGAAAAATCTACACTGGAAAGATCTGAATTTATTTTTAGTTAATGTACCTGCCTTCTCTTGAGAAAAGAAAACTTCTTTCATTTACCATTTCAATCCATTTATACTATTTATAATATAGAAGTTTCAAGACTACTATATGTGTGGGAAAACTGGTTACTTAGCATCACTAAAATTTGTTCAAACTGTAACTGGGAAAATAAAGGAACAAGAGTATCTAAATGATTAAAGCAGAAAATGACCAAAAAAATCCATACCACTTTAATGAAAGACAGCTAGGAATATTGTGCAATACTTATTGTCAGATATAGCATAAAAAATGCAAGTGTCATGTATTTTCCATCACTTAGAAAGCTCACATGCTGCAATACGCTGCCTTGCTCATATAACATATACACACATGTCCACACCCATGCATATGACAGACACACACACAACTCTAATTGCAGCAGCATAAATCATGATGAGTCTCAATAATAATTACTACTAATTGGCCCATCAGCTACCTTAGCTGAATTTTCAGGGCTGTCATTTGGCAGTTATCACCTGTCATCTCTTTTTTTCAGTAAGCTTTGCCTCCCCTCCCCTCATAAATCTCATAAATCACAATTCCCAAAGATGCTACATGGTCCTAAACTCTTTAGCCTAAGGGTTTTTTCTTCATTTACATTTGAAATAGAAAAGGAAGAGAAATAAGGAAAAGAATCTGATTGTGAGTCAACTTTGCAGTAGCACTGCATGACCAGTATACTGGAGTCTAAGATATAACAATGTACTTTTTTTCCTCTGGAAATGAAATGATGAATAATATAGCTACATCTCAAATATGTTTGTGACTATAAAGGTAAAATACAGTGTAATGGATTTTTACTATTTCATTTTTGACAAAGAAATTCAGAATTTATAAAAATACAAGCCAGCATGTGAATAACCAACAAATAAGTTCTACACAGTCTTAAGGCTCTACACTGCTCTGGAATTATACACCTCAGTACAAAAACTGTTACCCTCAGTACAAAAACTGTCACTAAGACTGACTTTTAAATCATGAAAAAAAGGGAAAAATATTCTTTTGTACTTACCATTGGTGATCATTTGAAAATCTACATTAATTATAGTTAGCGGAAAACAAGACAAGCATTGATACTTTGAGGACAAGTCAACAACAAATTCCACAGTACTGTAGCACTCTGAAAAAGAACATTAAAAGGCTTACCAGGGCCTCTGATTTGATTGTTGGCCTGACCATAAAGTTTGGGTCAGGATGCAGCATGACTGGTTTAGAGACTATTGATACCCCTGGATGTCGTTGGGTAGGTGGACTTGGAGCAAGTTGCTATGGGGTTAATTTAAGAAAATTACAATTCACAACATAATTTGTGAAAATCCATCATTTCACCAAGATGCCTCCATACAAATAGTTTATGGTAATTAATTTAATTACACTAATACAACGAAAGGCTTAAAGAATTATTTTAAGATGTACAAAGTTAACTAGCCAAAATGTAATTTCTCTGGCATCCAAATAGTAGCCTTTTCCCCTAAACTCTGACTTCACCAGCAAGATTATGGAAAAATCTCATCCCTGCTTTTGGCATTTATCCCACAAAGGCAATGAACTGAATGAGAAACTACAGGGAAAAAAAAAATGCTAAAGTTGAGTGTAAGAACATAGTGAACCCGAAATGAGTTTTTAACTAATCTGTGGCTAAACAGACCATTTAAGATTAAATTCACCAGGACTGAAGCAATCAGTTTTCCATATAGAATTTCAAGTTAGCTTATCGAAATTCACCAGGACTGAAGCAGTTTTCCATATAGAATTTCAAGTTAGCTTATCCTGACTTAAGAGCAAGGGTTAGTTGCACTAATTACCTACCCTTGACTCTACAAAGTACAGATACTCAGAGGCATCTGAGACCTAATCATCCAGCACGTACTAACCCAATTGTACACTTCTTACTCTGTCAAAACTCCTGCTGACGTCAAGCATAGTTTTATTCAAGAAAAGAGTTCAAAAACTGAGCCCTGTGGGTTTAGTTTCCGACTTAACCCAAGCAACTCTCAGCACACTCTTGTCAATGTTTCTCATAGGAAATGTGATGTATTCCAGATATCATTCATATAGTACAAGCTGTATCCTCTGAAATAATTTGAATTGCTTCCAGCGAATTGGTTAAGCCACCCTTTTTTTTTTTAAATAGGGGAATTTTTTGGTTGTTTTTGTTTGTCTTTTTGGTTTTCCCCTTTTTTAAATAATTTAAGAAAAAAGTTTTGGAACCAGATCTTCTAAAATCCCTGTGGACATACCTCAACTAACATTGTTCCATACTGCAAAACATATTGTATAGTTAAGCTTTATAATCTTAGAAGAATTGACAGGTTCACAGACATCAATTTAATAAAGTTGCACTGGAACTGGACAATTTAAAGACAGCCTTTTCTACAGTGCCTCAGATTGGGGAAATCTGACATCCGGCCATCCTGAATCAAAAGCAGTACAAAGAGTTATCAAACAAACATTGGTTCTTCTGAGAAGAAAGCTTACATCTTAGCACCCAGTATGTTTAAAATACAGTTAAGTCCTAGCTCCTTTTGTGTGTCTTGCCAGAAGAATAAAGTATGTACTCTCCTTGACATACAGAACATGCAAACATGGATCATATATTACTGAAGCGTTGAAATATGAAGTCCTCAGATCATTAGGAGTCACTTCCACTACCTGGTATTAGGTATCTTGTAACACAGCAATGGATCCACACACATGAATACAGATGCTCAGTTTTAAATAAATTAGCCATGCAGAGTCAAACCCTTGGCATTTCCTTGGCATTAGCATTACATGGTAAGTTCATAAAACTACAGTCATTATTAACAGCACTTAACATACCAGTGGATTGCTTGACACAGAAGATCCTTTGCTGACGTGGGAGGTGTTTCTTACAACCTAAACAGTAACAGACTTAGTACGGGGTCCATATAAAGCATACTGCTAATAATAATTTTGAGAAACAGATTGATTTATACCAGATATTTTAATAGTTAGTTGTCAAGAATGTATTTGACAGGATTTCATTCCTTTTGTCAGGTATTTGTTTGAGCTGAATTTGAAATTAAATGATCTGGAGAAAAAGCTGAGCAACATAGGGAAGATTTACCAGTTTGAGTAATATTAGAAAAGTAAACTTATGGGACAACAGTTGCCAAAAGGCTTTAGCAGGCATAAATACAAGATCTTTTATCACTCAAGTCAAATAAATGCACTGCTTCTGTTTATCTGTGGTATTAAAAACTGACTTTTTAAAAAGCAGCAAGGATAAATTCTCCAGCTTCTGATCTTTCTTGCATGTCTGAAACCACATCAGGAATACCAGGTTATCTACTTATAAACAAAGCAGCTTTAGCTCAGTATTAATACTTTAACTAAGAGCATAGTTCTTTCCTTATATTCGCTAATTACATTCAGTGAAAACTGGATAATTTTCAAAGGCTAGGTTATTTTTTTGTTGTTGCATGATGTATTTTTCTTTAATAATTAATCACTTTTCTCTAACATTTCTAGCAGTGGAAAAATTGCCCTAAACATATATTGAAATATATGGGTTTGGGGTCAGATCCAGTATGGCAGTTCCTATATTACTTCCTTTATCTGAATATTTTCTATTAGCATTAGGAGAATCTATTTCTCCTCTGAACATTAGTATTTAGTAGATTGTGTCATTTCACATCATTTTTATTTTGCAAATAACTTGGAAAACCTGTCATCCATAAGAACATCTGACATCTCCATTTTGGTGGATCTAGCATATTTTGGTGCTTCAAACATGTAAACCACATAGATCTCACACTTACAAACTGAAGTAGACCTCTGACAGAAGAGATTCATAATTCACATCAGGGCAATTATTCACATAGAAATAGTCTGCCAGTTTCCCCTGATTAATTTGCATAACCTTCTCCACTCCAACCAGAACCATGCAAAAGCAAAGCCTAGCATTTCCAAGTAAACATGCAAAAAATTAAAAACCAACAATACAACCAGTCAATCCATGCAGAAAACTGTAGGAAAGAAGTGACCATATGGGTCCCTCTTCTGCTGTTTGAAACAAGTAAGAATCTTTGCCATAAAAATGAGTACATGAATCCCACTACCGTGCTTCGCAAAGGGAATTATGACGAAACAGCTGCCATTTCTCTCCTAAAGTGAGATCTGGCACAAGACTTCTTGTATTAGATCTTCTGTTGGACTGAGATTGTAATAAGAAGAAAATCAGAATATTTTCTCAAAGAATTTCCTAACTCCCCTGTGTCATAAAAAAAGGTAAAACCTGATTACCAACTCTCATTCATTTCCAAGTTTCTTACTGGTAGTTTATACTGTGCTGATGTTTTAAAGTTTGAGCTTCTGATTTTAAGCTCATTTTCTTTGTCCATTCTTCTCAACTGACAAAGCAATTTGATAACATATTTAGAATATGTTCACGAGTCATTTTCACTACACAGATATTTTTCTCAAATTTAACTATGAGCTAAATCTGTCACCTGCCATTGCTTTTTTTTTTTTTAAATCTGTAAACACTCAAGTCCAAACTGTCTTTTTAACTGATACGTTCTGCCCAAGATACCTGCATGTAGTAGGGTTACAACATACATAGGGAGGAGAACACAAAACTGTTTCAACTTAAAATTTAAAAAAAAAAAAAAAAAAAAAAATTTTAAAACTACCTCTGACTTCATTTACTACTATGAAACAATGCAACCAACTCATTCCTTCTTTTAACATGGCATATGGCAGATGGGCAGATCCAGTGGATAAAGTGGGTGATGGAGCAGGGGAGGCAGGCCAGGCAGCGGAATGGTAGAGGCACATGCATTCAAACAAGTCATGAGGTCACCTGGGAAGCTGGTGTTACTGCCAGGGCTGGACCTCTTGAAAGCGGAACATTTGATGTAGGAGGTGGATGAGCTGATGCTGCTGGAGTAACAATGGGTGGTGGTGGCAGAGGTGGTGCCACACATAGCTTAGGCTTGTCAACTTCATCTAAGTTTATATCATCCAGATCTGTGGTATGAAGCTGCAGGCCACCGGCAAACCGCCGCATGGGTGTGGCAGAAGGAGAAGCGGAAGGTCGTCCACTTGCCAACTACGTGCAATAGAACAGAAATCTGCCTTAACAGTTCGTCTGATTGCAACAGCTCTGAAGGAATTAATGGCAAATGCTAGAATATCACTAACTGCTTTCACACAGGAAGCTCTCAGCTGCTCCCGGCACAGAATACACAAACTTCTTCTCTGAAAGCCTTTTTAAAGGCACTCCCTGGGATCCCAGTTTGAAGAGCAGAAAACAAAGTGCTGTGACAGTAGCCTTGGCTGTTGTAGCAGGGGGTGGATCGCACACACAAACCCCAACCAAATCTGCATGGAGTCTTCAGAAGGTAAAATCGTAAGACAAATCACAGATAATACAACTCTTGCCTCTCTAGGTGTCACGAGGTGAAAGCAAGAATTGCAAAGGTGATTATGTAAAAGGAAAGTAACCAAAGACTGGCCCTGAAATTCCATGCCACCAAAAAAAGGAAAGGAGCTAAAGTCTGGTACAAACACAACCAGACATTAATACAAGAAGGGGAAGTAAGCTTAAACAGCTATCAAACCAAGAAGTTTAGGGTGCTACAAAATTCAGACCCTCAGGAGGTTCTAGACCTTCTAATTTCTGTTAATCACCAGATGCATTATGGGGCTAAAACTCCAGAGTTTGAAAATAATGAGCATCTGACATCAACAAGAAATTTGTGTGCACTAAGAAGGATTCTACATGTGTCTTTAGAGTTGCTAGCATTTCTTTTATCAGTGATCCAACTGAAGTATTTGAGAAAATCTAGTTGATACTTTTTTCATTTTGCTATTTTGTAGACTCAACTGAGGAAATATTAGAGATACAAGCTGTCCTACAGACACATGTATCTTAGTCTAATATGACAATCCTTCCCTCAAGGAGGGTATCTCTGTTGACATTCTTTGGGATCTCCTTATCTGCCATACTTGCCCCTTTGTACTAGAAAATAGGTATTTCTTTGGCAGAGGTCAAGAGATCTTGACTGTTGTTGTACCCCAGTAGCAGATCAAGCCTGTAGTACCCAAATATTTTTCAGCTGCATTCATCCCTCCAAAGCATTCTAGTTTTGTTTTACATGAGTTTAACTGCTAGGGTGTTTTGCAGAAGAACTGTAACAGAGTATTTACATATAATGTAATAGAAGAATTGATGGAGAACATACAACACAGAGTGCTTGTCTTAAATCAGGGTAGAGCTCTGGAAATACAACACTGATTTTTATCTTTAATGTTCCCTCTTACTTTACAAAGTAAAGGGGGACAAAGATCTAGCAGAACACAGGCAGCCAAATTTACTTAGTGAGAGAAAACTCAGCATAATCATTCCACTGTCCTAGAGACCTGCACTGAAGAGCCACATGAATCTGAGCCTAAGGCCAGGAAGAACAGAAGACCAGCTGCTGTTTTCAGAGCTGCTCCACGCTGACCTGAAGGAAATTCATGCAAGAGTGTTCCCCAAGGGTCCCTTTTGTGGTTACAACTTCTTGGGGAACCCGGGGGAGTTCAGCAGATTGCAGTGTTCCTCTTGAAAGCAGCTGTGCTTGGAAGACAGCCAGAGCAACAGGATGGTGGGAAAGCCTCACTCCAGATCCAGACCCATCAGGCTCTATCTGCAACTCCCTTCATTTAAGGGGACTATTTAAAACACAAAACTGAACCCGATTCTTCAGGAGTTGTGTTCCTTTTTGTCATTTTCTTAACCTGTACCTTTATTCCATGCAATACAAGGAAGCATCCAAGAGCTCGTCATCAATGATGTTCTCATTTGCATAAGATACTAAAAAATATGGCTGGGTATTCTAGTCTCAGTTTTATTATTGGTAGCATGTCCCACCTACGCCAACCAGCTCACAAGCAAATAAAATTATTCATTTTGTGGGGATAACATACTTAAAAAGGACAAACAAAAGCCAGGTCATTAAAATAATAATAAAAAAATTCCATAAAATATGGGAACAACAAATGCTATAGACTGCAATTCATCAGTTACTGACATTTTTTCCACCCCTCTTAGAATAAAGGCTGAGAGGGAAAGATGAAGACGGATTTTTCTCTGGTAAAAACCTGTTGCTTTTAGGAGACAACTAGTCGGTTATTGAGAGATCATGCAATATATGGAGAAGCCAGAATTTTACCTCAGGAGACTCATTCTCCACAGAGGAAATCTGTTCTAACCGTGTCTGACAAAGTCTTTCCACCCAGTGCTGCACCTTTTCTGATTCTTCCAGGTCTTCTCGTTCTGTCTCCGATACCTTTACCATAACATTGGTGCATGAAAAAAGTTTATAGGTATAGTAACAACACAAATATATTTCAAAAATATGAAATGCCATTTAAATTAGTTTTAAAACTAATTATAATTTCAAGAATTATTTCCTATTTTGCTGGTTTTCATTAAATTCATCACTACACGTGGGCACTCATTAACTGCAGATGTATCCTCATTTGGGCAAAAACTGCAGAAACAAGCAGACTTGGGAACAGAGTTTTGCAGTGCAACAACATTTTTTTTTTTTTTTAAACTTCATTATCTTTGACATGATTAAACAAGCATCCTGCTAAGATATTGCACAGTTAATTTTCTTTCAATGTAATTTTGCACTTGATAGGAGAACACAACATACCTCTTGCACAAGACGATTTATTTTCAGTTGTTTTTCTTTCTCCAACATTCCTTCTTTCTCTTTGGCAAGTTTTTGCTCAAACTCCATTTCCTTTTTATTCTTCTTTTGTTCACACAGACTGTCACTTTTTGACTTCTTTCGCTCTTTCCCCTTCTGGGAAGTTTTGATGGCTTTGGTTTTTTTGTTTATTTTTAGTTAAACAGATTTTTACATCAGCTAAAAACATTGCAAACTTCAAGCTCAGTACATGAGTGCCTGCCTTGAAAATTTAGTTACAGTCTGTGCAAGTATGGGGATGGTCTTTTAAAAGAAAATCTAAAGTCCATTTCCCCAGCAATTTGTAGGAAATTATACCTTGTTTGGAGGTGCCTGTGCACATTAATTTAAGTAGGACAAGATTGGACAGTTCAACTTTTTTGCTCCTCTGCAAAGTTACAACATTAGTGCACAAAGGCCCACTACAAAATTTTGAATATTCGATCAATTTTGGTTAGGTCTTGATTTGCCATCTCTCTGTTCTGGCATTTCTATATAAACATGAGACTGACTGCTTTCAGATGACAGATGCTCATGTATAGGTAGATGTGAATATTCTATGCATAGAACATCTTCATGCATACGTCCTAAAACCAGGATTGCAAGCCTCAGTACAACTGAAATAAGCAATTACAAAGGAAAGGCTTAGATTAGTGCAGAAACTGAATTCCTCCCAGGAAAGAACACTGCATCATGAAGACCAAGCAGCTCCTACAAGAACTGGATAAAATCAACTCACATGAGTGAACTAATGTAGCACAAAGAAACTCAAAGGTTTTACACGTGGAGTGCAACCAAAGGGGAAAACTACATAGTCTTTTTGGAGCCTCTGTTCCTGCTGTCTTTGAAATACACCCTGCTCCTTATTTCTACTTTAACAATGTAATATTTCTGCTCCCCTCTCCCACTTGTACTGGTCGGGCTGGGCCTAGTTTATACACAAAAGCCTATGTTCTCCTTTTATTCATTAAAAATAGGATGAAAGGAAATGGCCTCAAGTTCCATCAGGGGAGGTTTCGATTGGATATTAGGAAAAAATTCTTTACTGAAAGAGCGGTCAAACATTGGAACAGGCTGCCCAAAGTGGTGGTGGAGTCACCATTCCTGAAGGCATACAAAAAACACGTAGATGTGGCACTGTAGGACATGGTTTAGTAGGCATGGTGGTGTTGGGTTGACAGTTGGACTTCATGATCTTAGAGGTCTTTTCCAACCTTAGTGATTCTATGAAAAAGTAAAAAGGAAGAGCAGCTGGCCACTTACTGTCAATTACTGCCAGGAACCAGCGATGCTAAGCTTCAGGTTTGAGTTTGCTCTGCTCATTATTATCAGCTACTGATTTTTCATGGTGGGTTTGGGAATTCAAAGCTTGAATGTACTTCACCTTACATAGCATGATTTGTCTTCCTTCCACCTTTTACATGTAATACTGACAATAAAGCCTTGGAAAACAGACATTTTCCCTGTCAGCTACAAAAGTCAATTCTCCCAGTCAAGTAGTGAATTAGAACTTTGTACTGCTGAGGTCAGTGGAAAGTTGTCTATTGCTTCATGGTTGTGGTTTAAAAAAAAAAAAAAAAAAAAAAAATCAATACTTCTGAGAGACAAAAATTTAAAAAACCTTCAAGTAAAAAAAATCTAGCTTTTCACACTAATGTTTTAACATAAACATAATTCTGTTGGCATGTTTTATTCAAGGCTAATTAGTTTGTACCTTATTAACAATTGCTGATATTACCTTATCTGCTAATAAATAAGAAAATACCTTTAGTACTGTCTACTAAATTTAATATCTGGCAAGTCAACCTGCTAGGTATCAACATTTGAAAAATTACTGAATTTGAAGGCACGCTTAGTGGTACACATGCCAAAGTGTTCCAGAATATGAACACATATCAGACAATGTTAGCTGCATTCAGATACAACAGGATGAGTCATCCTTTCCACCCATTTTCCCCATGGAATCAGTTTACTTCCTATTAAGGACATTTTTAGTACAGAGTGAAATTCTGGTTTTAAAACAAAACAAAAAAGCAATTTGGAGTAGGATTAGAATTCACCCCTTCCAGATTTAAAAATATTTCTAAAAGATTAAAAATACATCTTTTCAAGCTTCTAGCCAATACAATGTAGTAGAGTTCAACAGGAACTGGGTAAGAGTTTCATTACTATATGAAAAAAATATTTGGAGGCTCTCTAAGCTATCTTTGTCAGCAGCAATACAGAAGATCACCTATTTTTGTGAAGAGATTGAGTTTTCATAACATGTATTTATACTTTTCAGATAGAAATCCTAACTGTACTGGCTCTCACACAAATTACAGATCCATGATTTACAGTCACTGGCAATACAAAATGGTTTCAGAGTGTACTATTGTTTCCTATCCTCTGTTAAGGAGAACAGGCATTTTCTGTCCACGCAGAAGGTTAAAGTAATAGTCCTAATTGGTGACAGACATACTTCACCTATCAGATACAATCCTGACCTCATCAAAACCCTTGAGTTCTCAAGAGACAGACTTATGAACTCTCCTTGACACTTCTACCCCAGTTAATTACCATCAGCCATCACAAAACCCCCCACACAACACAACAACAAACACCCTATAATAAGGCTAATATACATTGAAGGAAATAAAGAGAATAAAGCAACAAAAAATAAAGTATTATTTGAAATGCTAATACTTTAGCAGCTACTCTACAGATATAAAAGTATTCTATCAAGCTTAAAGATTTTCAATTGGTTTTGCTCATTCTGTGTGATGTACATGATTAAAAGCCTTTTTGCCTTGAGCACTCCTCTTACTCGGAGATTTGCAAAGGTATAACTGGGAACTGCCTACTTGGTTCCCAGTGAATTTTTGTCTCTGTTTTTTTTTTATACATTATTCTGAGGACTTTTGGAGAACATAAAGACATGCACTGCCCACCTTTACTGAACACCTTCTGCAAAGTATTGAAATACACTTCCCACTGCAGCTGGCAGGACTTGAAAAGTCCAAAGTATTCAAAAAGACAAACTCACAGGCAGATGCATCCCAAATGCATCTTAATTTGCTCACACATTGAAAGAAGAAGCATCTGACTATAAAGAAAGTCTAGTAATAACAAAGAAGAAGAAAAAAGAGGAATTAAAATTGAAATGCACAGCAAATTCATATATCAAACTTTGTACCTTGCGGATTGTGGGAAATTTTCCTTCATACCGATAAAACCATCCAAAAGCTACAAAAAGGTAAAGGAAAAGTAGTTTTTTGAAGAAAAGCCAAGGACCTGTTCAGATTCAGATCAATATATGCTGATACATGTAACTGATTAAAATTTATTTGAAGGTGCAACACCAAAGGTTTGCTATTACATGATAAGTTCTTAGATGACTTCTTGGTCAATTGTGACAGTACATTTAGTCACAAGTTACCCTCATTTTACGGCTACACATTTTATGTTAAGAAAGCAAATGCAACATGTAATCTTCATACAGAACCATACAGCCATATGCATTGCTAAGATTTCTATGGTCACAGTCCTACTTTACACCAGTTTTAACAAGCCTTAATATGAGACAGGTATTCAAAGTCATTCAAGCTCATGGCAGAACACCGTGGCATTTCAGGAGACAAGAAAAGCTCCATTTCCTAGGATAAAATATTTTAAGCCAAGTGCATAAATATCAAAAAACACATTGCTAAGTAAAAGCATACAAAAGAATTTGTTACCATAATTTTATATAAGAAACACTAATAACACACACAGCTCCCAACTACCTTTCTGTAGGATTGACAAATTCTTTTTATTTGTATCTAGATATCTTTAGAAAGCAATGGCAGCAACAGTGTCATAACCTTTCATCATTTACCAAAGGACCACACGTATTGCCCTAGCAAAACCAAATTACCAGTTCAGTGTCAAGACTGACTGTCAGGAGGAAGGGAAACACAGGAAGAATCCGAATCAGGATAGGAAGTTAAGGCTGAGCAGCAAACCTGTTTGTCCTGCTTCATGATCACTTCATCCATGTCATCTGTTTCAAGTTGGTCATGTGCAACTCCCTTTAAATCTACTAGAGAAACAAAGGAGGAAAGGAGTGAGGAGATAGAAATGACAGTCTAACTGGAGGTTCCCATGAAATGAAAGAGATCAGCAATGCATGACTAGAAGTTTCCATGAAATAAAAAGAAGTTAGCAGCGGGTTTTTTCCAGATAACTGAAAAAAATGAGCTCCTGCTTAAATCAAATCAATTTCTAACCCCCTTCAACCCTGCAGAGCAGTTAGGATCTGCGTATGGCCAATTAGTCTGCTCTGCTATGAAGGGAAGCCTGCAGAGGTAGGTGGCTTTTCCTGTAATTAAACCATCAGTAGTTCTGGGATATATGGCTTCAAAAAGAAGTATCAGCCTTCTGCTGTGCTGTCACTGGTGTAAATGCTATACAGAGAAAACATTGTCCTGAAGAATCAGAAAACTAAATAGATAGAAGATGGTTGCAGAAGAAATATGTCCCCATCTCAGTTTCTCATCCATGAAAAGTTAAGTGACTTCCCCAAAGTCACACAAAAACCCCCATAATCAGGTTAGGAACTGACCCAGGTCTCCCTTAAGCCATGCAAAACCTGCTCCACAAGCACTTTACACTTTTTCCTTGTCTAATATCATTTTAGTACACTCTCCACATACTATCTATGGCTCCCAGCTTAGCTTCTTAACTGTAAATTAAGCTCCAAGCATTTTAAACTCCTTTGGACAACTCAGTCAGACTTACACTTCAGGACAATTCTTCACGGAAAAGTTGCAGTGTACAAACAGTGCCTCCTCAGTCTCGACTAATTCTGAAGCAGGCTGCCCACTGATACCAAATCAATTTTTAGGCTGTGCAGATTACAGCCTGTTAGTGAAAATTTGCTGCAATGGATGAAAAGAGGAAAAAGACAGGAAAAAGGAGAACAGGGGAGAAAGAAGAGATATATTCAATATGGAAAATTATAGTAGGAGGGGAATAGGAAAAGCAAGATATAAGGAAAAGGTGTTTCAGAGTCTACAGATAATCTGTGTTTGAAAAAGCACCATTTTTTTTCCCACTCTGACAGATAGTCTATTTAAGATATTAACAGATCCGCTTCTGCACATAGCACCTCATGAACAGATGCCTGAATTTTGCAAATTCTTAGAAATGTGCCTTGCTTTGTCACGATTAGGTCACTAGGAATTGATTCAGAAGTTCTGACTGCATGCTTGTAATTAGTACATGCTTAAGTGCTTTGCTACCTAAGATCTTTGCATGCAAGATTATTTTTGCAACAGTTGTAAACATCATTATGCCATCATCATTTCATTTTCAAGATATTTGTCAAAAGAGCATGAACTGAAGAAAGTGATATGCAGAAAAATGATGTGGTAAATACTTTAGCCTGAGAAGGAATAAATCAGATGTGAAAGGCATGCTAGCAAGAAACAGATTTGTCCAAAGATCTAGGAAAAACACTTAAAAAGTTGCTGGTTCTTAAGAATCTTTGATTTTTCTCTTTTTTTGTCTAGTGTCTTACTATTGTTTTGCAACAATGGCTTCTGTTGCATTTTTTGTTATCACATTCAATATACTGTTTACTCAATTAAGTTGTTTATTCCTCCTCATGGAAGAGAAGCAAGGGAACTTGAAGACATTCCTACAGCCCCCAAAGACTACCAAATTAAGAGACAGTAAGAAGAGATGAGGGAAAATATCTTTAGATTTTTCTGAAAATTAAACACTGAATTAATTTCGTCCAAGCAAAAGCAGGGATTCCATATCTACCTTTTCCAGTCAGAAGCAAGCAGACAAAAACAGTCAACCATCCTAATCTCCACACTGATTTAGAGTAAGGGAGGAAAAAAAAAAGTAACAACAGGAATAGTACAAAGTGCATTAGTTCACTCCAAATGAGACTGCAAATCTATTACTAGTTTCTACCTTCAAATACTCCACCTCCCAAGATCTCCTCTCAAATATAAAAAAGATGTTAAATAACTTGTTATGATTAATGCAGAAAGCTCAAAGCTAATTCCAGATGAAAGAACAAAACCAAACACTTGTCTCCCCTTCTTCATACCTTCATTTTCAAAAGTAACAAAACCCAGTAACAAAATTCCCATAAAACCTAAAATATTACTTATTACTAAAAGTATTTTTTTCTTCACTGAGATGAAAGCACTAATACGTATATAACTATAATATATCAGCTTATCCACATGGACATAAAACCATAATCATGTATCATAAAAAACGCAGCGCTACTTCCATTTGGACATATAGTGGAAATCAGCACAAGCCTACTGATGCAAGAACTGCTCTGGTGACAGCTGAGTTGAAAAGCCTGACAAGCAAAACACTGAACAGAAACAACATGGAAAGCAATGCACCAAAACCCAAGCTCAAGATGTTGATACTTCAGAAAAATTTCTTAGTGAGCTTTATTTTTTCTTCTTTTTCCTGACGCTGCTGATAGTTAAAAATCATGACTGAGCGGATGTAGATTTTGCAAGCTAGGTACCTGTTAAGTAAGAGCTATTAAATTAATCTATTTCATGCTTCCAGCCTTCTGAAAATAACCAAGTCATAGCTAGCTTGGCTTGGACACAAACTGGTGATATATTCCATGCAGCTCAGCAATGAGTGTGAAACGAATACTTTCCCTAGGAAGCAGATTGAAATCAATTACTTACTTTTGTGTTTGGAACGAGGGGCAGAGTGCACTTCTGCAGTTACAGTTTGTAGACACCTGGAAGGTTCTTTAGGACCCCAGTCTTCTTCCCACTCCTTTTTAAATTTCTCTTCCTCTGCTGTTATCCTATAGAAAAAAACCCTACAGCTAGGAATTCCGAGCATAAAAACAACAGCATCAATATAAACTCATTATAATTATTTAGTGTTCAGTATGTTTGGTTTTTTTCTCTTTCATATAAAGCATAAACAGCCCCTTCCCCCACCAAATTGCTTTCATCAGTCTAAGTTTCATTTACTAGGATAATTTATAAAATATAATGTAACTGAGTAATATTCTCATTTAATATTGAGACTTCTAAGACCAGTTATAAACACCTGCACAGATACTACATTACAATACTGACTGTCACCTTTACTGAAGCCAAAACCCATCTCTCACCTAATAATTTTTCATTTTTAGAACTGGGAAGTATCTATTAGAAAAACAGTTTTAACTAATATACTTATCGACAGAACATCTAACACATGCCTAAATCAGATATTACAATGGTAAACTATACCTAAAAAGTGTGTGTCTTATTTCTGTATCTTATCTAATCTAATGATTGCTTCTTAAACTTATAGTCCTAGGCTACACCAAAAAGTGACTCTTCTCAAAAGGAACTGCTGAGACACAAACCACATTAAATTCAGCATTCTAGGGGGGAGGGGGAAAAAAAAAAAAAGGAGAAAAAAAAAAAAAAAAGACTTGTCACACTTCAGGATAAAGGAGCTCATAAAACAGGATAAAGGAGCTCATAAAACAAGGAAATTACCTAAAAGGTACCTAGAAAGGCACCATGATCAAAAAAAGTACATTTGGAAGGAAAATTCAGCAAATCCCAAGTAGGTTACAAGAGAATTGCCACGTATAGCTTGTAGCTTCATATATGGTGCCTTTAAGTGATCCAAGATCTTTTATTTGCTGTAGCCTGCCTTGGTTACATGATACATGGCACCATGTATCAGTTTACCTGTTCAAAGTTTACGAGGTCTAAGATATATATGATGTTATTTATACTTGAATTATCTTTTGCATCTCTGAATTAGCTAAGGAAAACTTAAAAAATATCCACGTGGTCAAATCACTATTAAATCTGCAGCAGAGGTCAGTATTTAAATTTGGAGGCATAGTAAATGGCAGAGAACATCAGACAGAATGTTCAGGTTTGTTTATACATTTCATTTTAATTAAATAAAAAATGGGATTACAATGTAACTTGAAGTATACTGAGTTAAGGACATCTGTCATTTAGGCACATCTGAAATTTTTTCCCCAAAACATATGCAGGATACTAATAAAGGGAACAGTGACTTTATACAAGGAATTCCTGCAGAAAGTATTTTAAAAATAGAGCAAAGTATCATCCTTACAAACATTATGTTCTAGTGAAACTGCCTGTCTGTAATTGCTTATTAAATCTAAGCTTTACAATATGTAAGTTCCTAGACTACCATCCTCCGTTCCTCACACCAAGGAGATTGACACTGACTTAGCCAGTTTGGGTTGTAATATGGAGAAACTTCACAAGCACCTGAGCAGCACTTGGAAATTATACAAGGAAGTATAAAGACGTGCTAGACCTTAAACTAAGCAGCCCTCAAGGCAGCCTGATCATGGAAGTCCTCACTGAGTAAAGATGCATTTAGTTCAGAAGGATACTGCAGAGAGTGAACATTCATTGTAACAGACAGGCAATCTGGATATGGAGAAAGAAATCATTCTTCACCTGCAATGGTCTGTGTTTATAGAAGTTTTCCATGGCTACTGCAGGAATTTCGACAGCAGACCACAATAAAGAACAAGATATTATCTATTCCCCAGGAATTAGATAAGGAATACATGTAAGAATTCATGCTTGTGCTGCAGTAGAGTCCACAGCAGGATTGGTCAGAAGATTTTTGTCTTGTGGCAGCTGGGAAACATTCCCTTCTGCACCCTACATATTCAGAAATCCCCGTACTTTTTCTATCAGAGAATTTAATCTAACACAGGTAACATGAAAAGGCACTTAAGTGAATGAATATGAATTAAAAACTGTAAGATGTCAAAGGTGCAAAACTGCATACTTCAGGGTCAATCTTAGCTCTAAAAGGCTGCATCAAAACACGTATTGTACAATTTTACACTTTCATGCAATTTCCCAACATCATTTAGAAAGGAAATTAATTACTGTGATAACAAAACTTGTAACTTCAAGGTTCCAAATGCAAAACAACACTTAAGTTACATTTAGAGTACTGACCTTATTATGATACAGTCTATGAATATATGTAGTTCCTAGAATCACAGACTTTTAAAACCAGAGCAGACGGTGATAATAAAAATCAGATTTCCTGAACAAAAGAGTTTATAGAACTTCCTGCTTTCAGTGCCACAGTTTTAATGTTTTTTCTCCTCAGAAAAGCAAAAGTCTACTTAAAATTTTTGATGGCTGAAATTTCTACTCAGACAATTAGCGTCCCATAGTCCTTATTTTAGTCTAAATCTACATAGCTTTTGTTTTCAGAACTGTCTGATAGACTGAAAAAGCTATTAAATTCCATGCTGGGTACACTCTCACAGATGATGAGCAAACTGCCCAGTTTTTGTTTTGTTAAAATTTAAGCCAAGTGGATATGTCATGAAGCCCCTGAGTACATGCATGTTTTCCAACTCTTTAGTCATTCTTCTCTGTTTCTTCCCTGATCCATTTCCTTGCAGTATTCATTTCTGTTTTTTTCCTGTTAGAATTAAATGCATCAGTTCAGTGAAAACAGAGTAAAGTTCTGAGACACAGAACTCCCTTAATCTCTACACTTTTATAGCATTTTTAAAATAAGCACCCAACTTCAATTTCATATGTAATTTATTATCACCACAACACTCATGTTTTCCAGGTGCTGATTTTCACATCATTTTCCTATTCTTCAACTGCGGTGTACTCACTCATGCGCTTTGGACCCTACATTTAGCTAAATGGAAATATATGCAATTTTTATTAGAAAACAATATGCAGAATGTTTTCAGCCAGATCTAATATATTATAAGGACCTTTTTTCAGGCAGCATATTGCCTATGTAGGTTTTTACTTACTGCTCTATTTCTCTGCGATATCTCTCTTCTTCCTCTGCAGCCTTCTGGGAAATCTCCAGTTTTCTTCTACAATAATAAGAATTAGGGCACAATGATAGAAATAATATTTTCTGAGTAAGAACTTGCACAAAGTGTGTCAGCATATAGTTAGTAAAAGATATAGACAGTAAATACATACACATTGAGGAATAATGCTCCTTTTTAAAAAGTTGTCTTTAAGATACCAAGGGTTCAATACGCTTTCATAGGAACCCTGAGGACATTCATGACCATATGGATAATAAGGGCATATGATCTATTTAACTCTAAGTCACTATCTCCTTCTGAGACAGTTCCATAGTGTGTTTATAAGAGTATAAAATTTATAACTGTCCTGCTAGGAAAAAAACAAACAAAAAAAAAGGATGAGGGAATGGCATTGGGAAAATAACTAGTATAACACTGAATCATAGGGGTATGACAGTCAGCGAACAGTGACCCTTCTACTCAAGATGTGTTTCAATGAGATCAGCTTTGAAAACCTACAATATCAAGAGCACCACAGGATAACGATTTATGAACAGAGACTCTGCAACAGCAAAATCAAGTTGGGAATCTTCTCAGAGTTGTTCCTGTCTTCCACGCCCTCTCCAAATCCAAGCTAAATTTTTCATACTGTCATATACAAAGTCCTTACAATCTCTCTTTCTCTTGCTGCTCTTTGATGATTTTGTTAGTCTCCAGCGCAAGTCGCTTCTGATGCATTAACTCCTGGCGTTCTTGCTCACGGAGACGTGCTTCTCTCTGCCTTTCTTCTTCAGTCATGAACAGCTCCTTTCCCTGCAATCAGAACCGCCACCCAAATCAGCTGTGAAAGTTTCATGGAGGTAGTTCTTCTAGGAAATAATTCAAAACTGATTACTACTAGCACATCTGCCATTTCATCACATTACTTCTTCTGAGGAATGCTTTCTGAAAGATCCGACTGCTTCATTCTGAAGAGCTACTGCAGTTTCAGTCTTGAGATACGATGTGCTAAACACCTCAGAAGAGGCATGCAACTACTAAAGTCAGCAACAACAGTGTAGGAGTCATGCCAAAGACCTGTTCAGTGTGCCACCCAGAAAAAACTCCACATTATACTTTCGTGAAATCTAACCGAGCAGTGCAATGCTAGAGGACAGCACATTGAATGAATTCCAATGTGGAAGACAACTACTCAGTTACTACATTTTAACAATCTTGTGCCTGGCTGCTGTGGAAATGTACCATTATTCAGTGAACCCAAATACAAGGAACGTACATTGCCAAAAGGTTATGTAATTGATGTGTTCTAGTTGGTTATGCTCCTGTTTCATTTGCTTTATAGTTAAGACACCAGCACTATTTTCTATTCAAGAAAGCTATTTCCATGGTGCTATTTGTGGAATACTTTGATAACATTTACCTAATTTTCATTACTGAAATTAAAATCCCATGTGAATTAGGAAGGCAGAATTTTTCATGACTCTAAGGCTCAAAGTAGACAGCTCGAACAGAAACAGGCAGTGAAGAATGCCTTTGTGCCATGGTCTTTGCTGACTGAACAATAGGAGAAGCCGTTTCCTTTTGCAATCTCTTCTTCAGCACAAAGATGTGTACTGAGGAAAGGAGGGACATGCAAGGTGAAGTAGGTTGGAACAGAAGAGTTCCACAGCAAAAATTCCCCGTTTTAAGGATGCAATCCCAGTGGTACATGCTGGAGTAGATCCCATCTTTTCTAACAGTTGGTAACATATCTGGGAATTGAAACCAAGTCCTTAGGTTGCTGAGTTCTAGAGCTTAATCACCTAGTCTGAAGCATTTGTTTAAACAATGCCTACAATGTCTTTGAACAACTGCATCTTTTATTACTCTAAGAGTAGTTTAATTAAACCATGAATTCCTTAATATAACTACACAGTGTATACAAGCCCTTACGAAGTAGCTTAAATGGTTTATTAAATCTTGTTTTCCCTATTTAATTCAGTTGCAAGGCAATTACAAAATACCATTCTTTGATTAGTCTATGGAACTTGAGTATCCTCTTCTATATAACTACACATTCAACTATACAAAGGATTAAAGCAGTAAAAACATTTAAACATTTATTGAAAGTCAGTGGAAAGATATAATTTCAGCTGGCTTTAGATTAGGCCCCAAAGGAATATAGTTCCGTTGTACGAAACATTAGAAACAGAAAACTGAACCATTTTCAATGTGTTGATACACTAAAGAGATCAGATAAACAGCTGCACAAGGAATTAATTTGGAGTAAGACTAAGACTAAGCTATTCACAAGGAAAAATTAATTCACTCCAAACCAATTCACCTTTCATGTTTCAGCAGATGCATCTATCTGTTAGAACAGAAGCTCTCAAACACAAGAGACACAACAATAATGTTAATTTCCATTCCTTGTCAAGGGAATGGTTTTGCACTGGCCCAGAGTCATGAAACTGTTTTATTTGAGAATACTGTGGATAGTTATCAATATAATAATCAAAAGCCACTCCACACTGCCCTGGTTTGACAGAATTTAGCGGTATAGAAATTATAATGAAACACAGCTTTACTTCATATCTGTTTATTTTTACCATTTATTTGACCTCAGAGTAATTTTCACAAATGTTCTGCTTTTATAAATATATTACTTACAGCACCTGCTACCACAGAGATAGTCAAAGTACGACTACTTTTGAGCACTCTGACAGCCTGCAAATAAAAACAAAACCAAAAATCAGTCTGAATTAAGCGATAAAAGGCCTGTATATACAGGATGAAAGATGCTGGTTGTCAAAGCTGGAATTTCCAGAAGACTCACTGGAATTAAACAGGGTGGTACTATTTAAATCTCAAAATTCCCATGTTCAATATACAACTACTTTGGTTAAGTAGCCTGATATTAAAACATGTATTTGCAGCCAGGAAAATCAGACAGATGTTTAGTAAGCTGACAACTACATATTAGGGGAATTAGGAAGTCTTGATCTTACCTCTTTATGATCCACAGTAGAAAAGTCCACTCCATTTACCTCAACAATCTGATCACCAACCTAAAGGAGTTAATAGAAATTTTAGCACATAAACTAAATTAATACATATATTAAATGAAAACAGAAAAAGATACATTCTCTAACATTTCTTAACACAGTAATCACAGGTACTGGCAGAGTCCAAGGGGAACAGAGCAGAAACTGGGCAGGCCTGCACATCCACCCACATTAGCATTTCCTATTGCCACTGTTTGAGACCAAATATTGAGCTCAATGAACTGCTGGTCTGAGCCAGGAGGGCACCTCTCATGTTCTTGAAATTTAGGAAACTCACTTCACTGGAAGTGTAAACACACAGGATTTCTTTCCCATGGAAAGAAAACCCCACAAGTGTTGACTTTGCAGTGATCCAGGATCCTTGTAGTAGTAAGCACAAGTAGCTTGTGGTACCTACCTTGGAAGGCAGCATACTTACTTCTAAGCCCACCTCTGCTGAAAGAGAATCCGGCTTAACGTTGCTGATAAAAATGCCTGGTTTTTGCATTGGACCACTGGAAATACTGGTGTAATATAAAAAAACATATACAGGATAAAATTTATAGAATAATACAGTGTAATACAGTGAGAAGTCTTAGTTGTTTTCTCATAATTTGTTTCTGATTAGAGAATGTTTTTGTGGTATTAGCCTACTCTGAAACAAACACGAAAATTTGCCAGTACAAACACAATGGTTTATCGTCCTACTTTTCTATCCTTTACATGACAAAGCTGTGATTTAAGAAAAAGCTAAAAGAAAATTATTCAGACTTGTGGATTTTTCCCTAGATGTTGAAACTAAAATAGTATACTGACCTACACTGTCAGGGACTGGGACACTAATGTCATTGGAAAGGAAGTGTGTAACACAAAGAAGAATTACTAATTGCTTGCACTTTCACTCACTGAACTGCTGTTTACTATATGTATAATACAGTGTTATTTTTTAGGATTATTTACTAGAAGCAAGGATGTCTCAACCAGGGGACAGCATCTAGCCTGTAAACTTTAAGCTGCAGTCTAAGCTAGGCCCAAATACAGCAATGATTTTTGCAGATAACATATCCAGCAGGTGGTGTTGAACCACCCCTCCACATTTGTAAATAATTTTTTTAAAACATTTAGATCCAAATAGCATGAAAGAAAACTTATGCTTTAGAAAACACTCTGTGCAGTTCAATCTTGGTAACTTCAACTATATATTCCTAAATATAAAAGAAATCCTACAATATCCCTTCTACCCCAAAATCTCCATAACTAGAAGTCTGAGAATTATCTGTTCATATTTCTAAAAATCTTGCAAATTCAACATTACTTTTAGGAACTGGATATAGCTGTGCTATGGCTTCTCAGTTCTGAAAAGGGTCACAGAAGGCAGTCTAAGTTCAGGTAGTGAACCTGATACTGGACAGTGCTGGAACTTGCTACATCACAGAGCAATTTTTTAAAGTATTTTAAAACGTAAAAGCATTTAGAAGATCCAATTCCACAACAACTTGTATTATGTCACTTTCAGCCTGCTCTTTTTTTTAAAAGATTTTTTTGGTTTTAAGTCAGAACCTGTGACACAGGTATTTTTGCTTTGTCTAATAATACATAACACATGCCACAGATAGCCTCCTGTTTCAGTTTGCCTTACTGACCCAGCACAGATCTCCATTTTCCTGATATCACATCAATGAAGGAGGGAAATAACTACCTCGGATGCCTCACTTAACAAACCAATGACATTAAATAAGAAACATGCACCCACCTACATCCCATGCCTTTTGTACCAATCAAGCTAATGAAGACTTTCTTCTCTTTATTGTCTCTCCCTCCAGAAGAAGCAAGACCAGCAACACTACCCTTTCCTTCCTGTAGGGGGAATAAAAATATGCTGCAGATGTTACTCTGTGTTGAACTTGTATTGAGACAACTATAAAACTCCATGAAGCCAGGATCGAACCCTGCCAACATCAAGGTAAGATTCCTCTAAGGTCCTGCTGGAGATGAATATGAAATACAATCACATCACTGGAGCCGCATGGTTGAGGTGAAAGACGGAACTTATCTTCCTATTTGGAGAAGACTGTTCAAATAGTCAAACTTGGTCTTCAGAAAAGGGTGAAAGAAAATTAGAGGAAAGTGATAGGGCAAAATAATAATTTAGATGTTCCCTGACAAAAGAGCTGGAAAAATTCATGACAGTGCTCGCTATTTAACTAAGTCTTTCTTCTTGAAAGCAAAAGAATGGTAATTGTGGTTTCTCTTTTCATTGCTGCAACCCATGGACATCACTTGCATTCATACCTGTCATTCCTCCACTAATATAGCAAAGGTATGCCAAATAATCTGTTAAAGATTTATTCAGTAGAACTATAGCCTAGTAAGTTAATAAACTCCAGCAAAATAAAGTACCAATTAACAAGTAAAAGATATTTCATTTGTGTCCTGCCCTTTCATTATCTGATGATTCTAGAATAATTTCATATCACAAAAGACCTTGTCTCCCAGAACACATGTAACATGATATTGCATAATAGAAATACATACAATAACTTCTGTGATAAGGCCAGAGGAGAAAGTGTTTCAGAACCATTACAGATTTCCCAGAAGATATCTTAATAAAATATTGATCGCTTACCCCAGAGTCTGACACAAACTGGTCCACATATTGCCATTTAAGGGGTTCATCTGCTGAACTGGAAGGAAAAAGTAATTCAAAATAATGGGGACAAAATAAATGTGAATGTATTCAAGAAGCTACTTTGGAATGTGGCCTCCTGTTTTGCATCCGCAGGTTCCTTTGGATACCATTCACAACAACTGATTTATTCTCCAGAAATTTAAATAGAACAAACAATCAAACATACATACATATAATCATTTAGGCTAGTAAAGCTGGTCAAACATAAAATTGAGAAAACCTCTTCAAGTGAAACAATTCTGGGAAACTCTAAGACTGAAAATAATCATAATGACTTGAACAGCTTATATAAATGTTAATGCAGAGCCACACCTCCTGTTGTCAACATTTCTCAAACAGTCCACTTAAAGTTTCAACTTCTCAACAAAAATTGGAAGGGGACAATAATTTGAAGTTTTTCTAAGCTCCAAAGGAATCCTCAAGTGTTATGTACATAGAGAAGCAGTGGAGCTCCCTATTAAGCTAGGTGCATTGATAATGAAATTTCCAGGTAATATCCACAAATAATGAGGAAATAGAAATTGTTTAATTTAAATATGTAACTGGCATAAGAAGTTAGATTCATCAAAAAGAGACATCTGCCTGTTTATCACAAAGGATGTGATATTTGAATCAACTACAGAGATACCCATTCACACATTTTCAAATATGCAGATAAACACAGAAGTTCTTTGGATATTGAAGAGGCTATGCAAAAAGGAATTATCTAATTTGTTTTCAAATTAAATACCATTACCTTTTGACAGGTATCATGCCAATATCTGAAAAAGAAAAACACTCTGTTAAGTAACACTTTCTACAGATCACTAGCAACCTATTAACAGCAATCTTTAGTGGTACAGGTGATTTTTTTTATGTTACTTACGTCTTACTTTTATGGACACTATTTTCTTTGTACGAATTAGGTTTATGACTTCTTCATGTGTGCACGACGAAATGGAATATCCATTTATACGAACTATCTCATCTCCAACCTCAAAAACAAAAGGGAGAAGAAAAACTAAATTGTGAATTAATATTACAAAGTTTTTAAGCAATGACGCAATCTGACAATTATTATGATGCAAAGGTTTGATAATGTTGAGTCCTGAATACTTTTTGAATTTCAGGTAATGTCCAGATCAGATTTACCTATATTTGTTTGAGCTTAATATTTAACACCAAAAGGGCAGATTAATGGCCAAGTAACAGTTTTATCAATACTATCTAGTGGAAACCATAAAAATGAGTCTCTACACACCAGACTTGTACTCCACAGATTACCTTAAATAGAAGTGTCCATATTTCAAGTCAAATAATTTTGGAGTGATTTTCTTCCTTTATACTTCAGCATTTTAATTTTGCTTTTACCATATGTTCTCAGATACCTTCTTAACTATTTTGATCAAAGGGAAACTAAACTTGATCTTATTACCTTGCCTGATTCTGGATTGTGAACAATACATTATTTTAATGGAATTTACCTCCGTTTCAGGTGCAACTTCTGATTAATTACAAGTATCTGTACTAGCACAATGAATTATTCTGGGGTGCAGTAGCTTAAGTCTTCTCGAGTCATCTACACTAGTTACAAAATTGCATGCTACTGATGTGACAGGTTTTCAAGTGATTCACAGCAGCAACCCTCATACATTATGATTTAAAATATGGTACCATCCCCTACCACGCCCATTCCCCCTGTTGTATAACATGAAAAGCATGAGAAAACTTGAGACAGAAACATAAAAGGAAGCTCCCACCAGACAGAAGGCAAGTCAATCACTTATTCCCAAGCTTACTCAGGCCTCCATGTGTATGTAATATATATATATTTGGGCTCCATGGGTGAGAAGGAACATAGTCAGCTACTGAACATACCAAGAGCATGCTCTCTGAATAGCAGAGACAATACTAGTATTATCACCAAGGCAAATTTAGATGAAGGTAACTTGACTGAAAGGAGCAGTCCTCCACCCTAAAGGACTGGCTCTGGGTCTCTGTACAGACACAGGCCCTCTGATTATCTTCCAAACCTATATGCCTTTTGTCTCACAAAAGGGGTATACAATGAAACTGAAAACAACTGGAATTTTCCACCTAGGTTTTACCTGTTGCGCAGGAAAAGATGTAGTGGTTTATATTAATAGAAAAAAACCCCAACACCAAAAAACCAAACCAAACAAAATCCCCCCAACCCCTCCAGGTATTCCAGAGAAAAAAATAATACTAGATAACTAAGTGTATACTACTGTATAAAGATACATGGTGACAAAATGACGACAAAATGACGACAAAATGACACCTTTTGAGCGGAAAGCTTGCATTTCAAAAGGCTTCCCTTCCTCTAATACAAATCCAAGTTTGATTCAATATGATGACTGGACTAGAAATTTCCAAGTTTCTATGAACTCTGCCTAATGATCCCCTTAGCTAGGTAGACTGAGAAGGAATCAGTGATGGAGGCATTACCCACTTCATTTAGGGTTGTATCTTACTAGCTGCTCAAGATCCCACTGAAAAATGCCATGCCTTGGCTAGAGCATCATAAGCAAAGACTTTTTCACCTAACATGAACCACACGACACGGCTGTGTGAAAACTAGTGCGTGCTCTCTTCCATTAGGCAATGCAAATCAATCCTCTGTACAGTAGGATATGTTTTAACAACAAATCATCAACAATACCCTTTTATACCTCTGTACTTTGATCTCCACAAGAACAAAGCTTCCACTTGAGGTTTGGAAAAGGTCCCTATACTACAAATTAGAAGCACTGTTTTTACAGTCTTAGCGAACATCTTTATTGACTAAAAAGTTCAGGACATGAGGCATGTTCACCGTAACACATCTGATGAAAGTTAGTTAATATAAGGACTCTGGCTATACTAGTTCTGATAAAAAAAAAAATTTCCCTTTCATCTACTTCCTTGGGGATTGCCAGTGCACCAGCACTGGCACCAAGATGAGTTGTGAACACACTTTCAATGGCTGCTGCAGAAGATCGTAAGAGTTAGTTAGCTCTTCCAGAATGCAGGGGGCACAGGAGACTCACCGGGAACAGAAAGGATGAGAAGATTCATTCAGCCCTAACCACTAAGGTGGTGCAAAAAAATGCCGTTGCGCAAAAAAGCCCACTATCTGCTTACAGAATTAAAGACCTCATTGTAATATTCACAATAGTATCACAATAAATATTGTAATCTTTAATGCATTTGTTAAGACTGTGCAAACAATTGCCACCTTAGATAACTCTGACCTAATTTTTTTTAATGTAACAGTACTTTTTTTTTTTTCCTTTTGAGCCAGATATTTCTGGTCTCCCCCATAGAAACTTTCCAATTTTACTGTCACTGAAAGCGTAGAAGGTAATGTCACCAGTCTTAATCAGACTGAGCAAGTGATCTACTGTGGCCACACAGACTAAATTATGCAGTGTATCCACTATTTTCTCCATCACATAACTTTGATGGAAGTGTCTGTACCTGAAAAAAAGTGAAGAAGTCATGGTCTAGCTCCCTGAGGATTAGCTTCCTTGTACCTTGCTGACAGTTTTAGAGAAAAAATGGGTACAGCTGGAGACTCCCCCTCTGGCACTATACAGATCATCACTAAAAGCCTAAATTTGCATCACCATATTTATGTGAGAGGAGGGAGTGAAACTGGAAACAGGAATTCCTCCATATGGTCTATGCCTTAGTGACAGGTCTACCCTTGGGTGACAGGACATTGGGCATGTCATCACCTTCTGCCTTTTTTCATATGTACTAAGAATTATTGAATCTTCCTACTGTGATCTGTTCAGCTAAAAAAAAAACCACCAAAAAAACCCCAATGAAACAACAAGCCACCTGCTTATCCTTTTCAATTCTTTCACAAACTTTTGCATTCCTTCTGGGAAGTGCCATATGGTTTGCAATAGTACACAAAGCATTACCAATACGTCCACTGTACCAGCATAGCTCATGTAACACAGCTCTCCACTAAACTTGAAGATTTTTATCTGACACACCACAGCATCAGAAGACTACAAAAGCAAATAAAACGCAGTATTGTGACTGTCCTGCAGGAAAGAATACATTTGCAAAGGCAGAATGTGACTATGGTCCCCAGCCCCTAACCAGTGGGACTGCTGCTCCACCTGCTGGACATCCAAAAATCTCACCGAGGACAATGGCCTGCGTGCAATTTGCAGCACTCCTAGTAGCTTGACTGTTTTCATTTAAGTCAGTCAGATTTTTAATATGATCTTTAGTAAGAGCAGAAATAGGCCAGTACTGAAGACTTCTGAACATATAACCTGTGGTACAAATGCAGAATCAGACAAGGAAAAGCACATGGGGTCTGCAGTTTAGTGTTGCACCCCTGATAGCTCTCACTATGAAAGAACACTTCAATTAACCAACTTGTTCCAAACGTTCAAAACCACATCCATCCACACCCCACACACCTCCACCACCCCTCAGCCTGGCAACCGTGCCATTGCACTCCTCTTTCCCCTGCTAAATTCTAAACTAGCTCCCAAACCCAAGACTTTAGTCTAGAGCTGTTCCATTGCCCTCAATACTTCAGGAAATCCATTGTAAATAATGCATTTTTAGGACTGGGATTAGCACGGGCACTGTGACTGTACTGCCAAGAAGCAAAATGGCTGAGAGGCAAGCCAGACTTGTAGCACTGTGCATAAAGACTCAATATCCTCTACACACCAGAAAGACTCTCAGCCTATTTAGGATTCTGCTGGTTATTCTAGAAAATGGTAAGAAAGCAAGTGATCTCTGCTTTTCAAAGGAAGGTTGAGTTCCTCAATAGTAAAATGCTCAAAAAGCTTTCTCCATTCCCATCTCTGGTCTCTCTCTGGATTACTTACTTGCAAAAATACCAGAAGTTTGTGTATAACTATTTAACCTCAAGTATGCAATGTTGACATCATTTGATCTACCTAGACTTTTCTGTTGATCTTACATATTTGTCGTTGGTGGGTATTTTGTTTGTTTTTAGTTTAGTTCAAGATCTCTCCTTTACTCACATCTTCCACATCATGCAGGCTGTAACAGACCATGGAGCCTGGGTTTGCACAAACCCAGCTTTTTAAAGGGGTAACCTAACCTACTGTTATTAACTGCAATGCCGTAACACACAGAAACATCCCAGTTTTAAGACTGCAAATGGCAGCACCATTTGCTACTCTCCATATATTTTCTGTATCATCAGAACTAGTGTTGCTCTGAGGATGTCATCGTTCACTAAGCGAGTCATATCTGTATTATATCATCTCCCTAAGAGGCACACACTTGCAAAATTATAAATGCAGCCAAAAGCACATTTTATTTTTTCCTCCCATATGGGAATGAGCTTTTCCCCTATAGATATATTTAAAACTCCTCTTTGTTGAACTTCAGAAATGAAACAAAAAGAGAGTCTAGTACTCCTCACTCACCCCAATGACAATTCTGCTACTGACTGACAACGTATGACTGACAGTGCTTTAGAAATACTCCATTCTAGGCTGAACTACAGGAGACATAGGCAGGTAACAAACTGCTTCTCTTTAGGACACTTGAACAGCTTTTGCTGCAAAAAGGTGTCCATACACTTAAGTAATTAATAGTTGTTTTCATATATTTTGTTACTTTTCTACTGGTATCACATTATACCAAGTGTCTGAATCAGAATCAGTAGACATAAAAGTCTGCAGGATTGAGCAGAGTAGAACAGTAACAACTATTTTATTATATATCACTGTTTCCCCTTTCCCTATCAAATAGGGAGATGACAGACTTTCAAAATAAAAGCTGCAAACCTACCTTTTCCCAAGTAAAATGCCTATTATTTGTAACTTTTAACATAAGAAATGTAATATTTAGTGCTTCCAGGAAATTGAAAGATTTTTACATAATAACATCATTGTTCCCATTTTGTATACTTCTTCCACTTTCATCACTCATACCAATCTCCCCCTCTTTGTGTTCAGCAGAATCCCCACAGACATATGTATCAGAAAGCAGAGGAAAAAAAAAAGAAGATGCAGTACACTTCTTCATAAAAGGACAAGCCACCTGCCTTTTAGAGAAACTATGGGGTCAAAACTACCAATGCCTCAGTAAGCCTTCGTGATTATTCAATCATTTTAACATAACTTGGAAACAACTTCAAGTAGTCATGCAAAATGGATTTGAATTTTTTAAAAAAGCAGCAGGACCTAAAACTGATGGTATAATAGAAGATCATTATACCTTTCTCAGACAGCATTTTTGGGATAGAAAATGTGTAGAGATTTAGTTAAATAAAGCAGGTGGGTGAAATTTCAGAAGGGGTTGGCTTTACTGTGAGACAGCAATTTAGAACAATGGGCCGCCTGTCAGCTCTTGTTATTCAGTGGGGTTCAGAAAGTGCCTAGTGCCACCTAATATGAAGGCACTTTAGGCTGAGCTTTAACACCAGTGTTAAACAGAAGTCAGACAGTTACGTGAGCTGCGAAGCACCATCTGTTCATATTAATACATATAATCTAACTCTAACATTCATAGACAGTGGCAAGCATATTTCCCCATCATTGTCCTTCCTTTCTCTGCCAAACTCTAACAATGTTCCAAGTTGCAGTACAATTTGTACAACCCAGCCCAAAGATCCTTAACCATCCCATTTACTGTCACCAACTTGTAGTACAACAGCCTCAGCCACAGAAAGTAGAGCCTTTTTGTGTACTGAGAAAAAATGAAAATTGACATCCTTACAGTAGCACAATAACCAAGCATAACTATCAATCACGTCAAAACATTAGTCTGAAACAAGCAGAGCTGCAACACAGCACTAAGATGAATGTACTAGCATGGCAGTTTAAGACAGTGGCTATTAAGTCCTTTATTGCTCAGCATCATTAATGCTTTTGCAGTGCAAACTCTGGGAAGGTGCATCAATGCCTTTTCTGGAGCTACTCACTGGCAAATCCCAAGTTTAAAGGAGGCTAATGACACATCCAGCACAGTGTTTGTGATGTCCTATGCCACCCTCTCAATTCTAACTAAATACAGAATTTGTGGGGGTGTATTCCCTGAATTTATGGTTTTGTTCCAAGAAGGAGCTTCTAAAAGTATCTAGGGAGCTGGTCACGTGTCTGCCCAGAGCAGGCTGCCAGAAGATGGGACTAATTCAGTGGTGATTCTGAATTAGTGAATGGGATATATAGGTATGAATGCACAAACAAAAGGGCACATGGATGTATACAAACAGAGAAAGAAACACTTATTTAAATTTTAGAAAGCTCTCCACATGAATTATGCAAACATGGTACCCTAATTTTGACTGCCTCATCACAGAGCTTTTTTTTTTTTTGTCTAAGAGAGCTGTGAGGTTACACTGAAGCATATCAAAACATGTTAGTTTAATTAGACACTGTAATGAATCATGCCAGTCATACATTTTGGATAGTATTAAATATAATCCTTAAACATCAGTACTTCCAGCAATTATTCACACTCGACCAATTGAAATTAGCCAGGCACATCAGCCTATCTACTCAGGAGCATAGACCTTTAATACACCTTATCAGCTTTGAAAGCATAGAAAGATGCAAACATTTATAGCAATTGCTCATTTCTCTCTTCAGTAAGATATATAAGAGTAAGAAATGACACACTCAAAAAAACCAAACACCCAAAACTTCATTAATGCAAATTGCGTAAGTGCTGATACAGAAAAAATATGATTCTTTCTTTTATGTACTTCCATTGCACAAACCAAAACCACCACAATTTATACATGAAGTTCAAATAAACACTTCATTATAAAAATTGTACCTGTGCAAGATGGAATTAACACTTTTAGTATCTATACGCTCTATTCCACATGTAATCAGAATTTAGCAACTTAAGACACTCTTCCACAGACTAGTTAAGAGATCTTTCTTTCCATCTGCTTACACTGAAGTGTTGTTACTCATGAAGTAAAAATACTCCGGAAAACCCCTTTATCTTCAAAAATCATCATATCCCAAATAGGAAAAAAAGGTTTACATATCATCAAAATTGGTGAAAAGAACAATTTTAATAATTTGATTCACCATCGGTATAATGGTATTTACTACAACACCAACTTGTATATTTTATGAATTTTTTTCTAAGAGACAAAGAGCACCTCAGCAATAGCTATTTCTAAATATTAAAGAACAGTTCTTACTGCCTGCTTCCCTAACATTGTAGCAAAAGACTTTTTGCAGCACAGCAGCCATGAATATAATTGCCATGAATATAATTTTCTTACCTGAAGTCCAACATTGTCTGCCTGCCCTCCTTTAACTAACTGGGAGATGAAGAGGCCACAGCTAAATTCCACTCCACCTCTTACACTTATTCCAAGTCCTTCAGGATGCAAACGATCCAATCTCACTTCTTTCAACTTTCTGCAAAAATGGAAGATACTTGACTGTTCAGCTGCATAACTCTTTGTGGCAATAATGTTTCACGTGAAAGTTACACATTATTTTTCTCTTATAACATGCCTATAATTTAGGCATGGAAAAAAAAAAGCAAGTTGAAGTTTGGATGGATGTGTGTTAGCTAAAGCCATCAAGTATTTTTCATAAGACAAGACACCTGCAACCATTGAACCTGTCTGTTTCTAGAAGGTTAGAGCTGTAAGAATTTTTATTATTATTAAATGCAGGAAAAATGAGAAAAGATCATTTCAACTGGAAAGCATTGGTTTTGACTCCCTTACCCTGCTTTTACTAGATTAAACTACTCGGCAAACAATTTCAGGTGGCTCAAAACTGCACTTCTAGCAAATATAGTAAAAGTAAAAAAAAATATGCCCAGCTCTACACAGGTGACTGATATTTTACTCAGAGTTTATCTAAAAACCTCAGTTAGCATTTCCTGCTTGTAGTTAAGTTAGCTGCATTGTTCCTCATTCTCTTACCTTGATCTTTTTGGTGTAAGCTGATCATATTCCACCTGGTGTTTTAATGGGATAAGTGGACGGATAGCATCAAATAGAGGCAGTCTGCTTGGTTCATTAATCACGAGTTTTAGGTCCCCCACAAGCACTGGGAGATTCATAGATCTACAAACACACAGACAAAACAGGCACAGGTAATCAACACACCAACACAAAGCATCATTTAATAACTTGCTGTACATGTGGCTTCAAAATTTGCATGTCCCTTCAACCTACTAGAAAAGTTATTTATGTAGATGTTGGTTTAACCAAAGCAAAAGAGCCTCTGAGAAAGCAAGCCTTCTGTAAGCAGAGAGGAATAACAACTACCTCCTTCAAAATAACAGAAATCTCCTATATATTGCCTTTATCTTTTAAGGTCATGCACATAACTTTTATAGACAACACCTTTAATTTCATTCTGAGAGGCCCCAAAAGATTAACGGAGCCATTCGGAAATAACTTTTCAGATCAGATATGCCTGCCTACTATAGTTTTGTTTCCTTACTAGTCAGCAATCCTTCCAAGGGAATCTAAGCTACAAGCTCCTTCCTCACCTGAACTTTGGGGACTGACAAATTGTTTTGATCTAGGAAAAAAATCATGATACTCAGTAGCTAGAGCAAGGTCTTGGTTTAAGTTTAAAATTTTTTTTCAAATCAAAATTGCAGTGCCATCAACCAATAAGCAAAATCCATGGAAGTTGAACCACTGTGAACATCTGTTTTATGAAAGCTACGCAAAGTAGTCTCCTTGATATAGTCAGCACTGATACAGGTCTAGAAAATATACCTTGTTGCCCAACTGCAAGAGTGGAGTAACAGTTCTCTACAATTCAGTGGAGCTGTTCCTACACAGCATCCAGTTAAACTTAGTCTATATTATTTGCTGTTCCCTCTCTTATAATTTACATTTCCTGGCATACAATATTTCTTAGGCATATATGTTGAAAATACAGATCAGGAATGCATATTACATGGGATCAGGGGTCAAACAGTCTTGGAAATGCTATTCACAGTGAAGCAGACATTAAATGTTAACACCAACAGCGACTGCACATATGTTTGCCCTGGAATACTTCATAATGTATTCCAAAAAACGTGATACAACATCAACATAAGTTCAAAGAGATATTGGAAATTTTGCTCAAGTAATTGCAATTTTGAAAATTGAAGAAAAGTTACTATATGCATTGTTAATTTAGTAACTGCAAGAAGTTTTTAAATAATTAAGAGCTACTGAATCAACCGGCTTTCCAAACAACAGGCTTCAAGAATGAAGGAGCAATTAAGACAGACCTGAGTGAAACTGAATCAGATATGCACCTGAATACACCCATAACTATAGCTCAGTGCAAACATCAGATGGATACATCTACATTTCACTCAGCTGAGATACTATTAATTAAGATATGAATGGAAACAACGTCTATCAGATCCACTTGTCTATGATGAGTGGAAAATGCATTCTCATATTCTTTGAAAAACAATAGATCAGATGCTGATCTCATTTGCAATGATACAGGTCCTAAGCAACTGTGGTTTAAATCAGTTCAGCAAAAGGATTGGTAATAGGCCTATCACCTTACCATTTTTTTCCCATTATGTCATAATAAGCCAGAGTTATCAGATTCCCAGGCTAATTTTTTTCAGCTTTCAGATAGAACAGTTGCAAATATTTATCTGAATAGTTAGCAAAAAATCTTTGAAAAGCACACTCAATGAAAACCTCTGTTGCAAATAAATAAGCATTATTTGGAAACATTAATGAATTTGATTAATGTTCTCTCCCTGTTTCCTAAGAACAGTTTTATCATCCAAGTGCTTCTTCTTCCCCCAACATGAATCCACCAAATTCTTTTTAAAAATTGCCAAGTCACAAAACAAAAGCAACTTTATAGGTGATAACAGACATGCTCCTTCCTTGTCTGCAGGCTATGCTGTAAAAGCATAAGATTTCATTAAACAGAATAAAACCTATTACTTCCAGTACTTTTCTAGTAGCACATAGAAAGATCACTTAAATTCTTGAATATGCAGTCTTTACATTTAAAAACACTAGTAAAATGCTACACAAACATATATAAAGCTAGATCTTACTGGTGGTACATCCGCAGCACATCATAAAGATAATCCTTCTCCGCTTCATTGTCAATTAGTAGATTAACCTGAAAACCCAAGGACATTATTGTAAATCTCTGACTAAATATTCACAAATGTTGAACATACAAGGCTTTCACAAATTCTTAAGCCATAGAGCAAAAACACATTTTTGCAACAGAGTATTACCTCACAATGTGAAACTTGTAACAAGACTTTCTAAAATTAGTATTAACACCCATTGGACAAGGAGGTAAATACTGATATATTCTGTATGCTAGATGATCTCTCGGCAGTAATATTATTACAATAATATTTTATTTGCCTTACCTGATAATCACTGTACTGTTGAATAAACGTTTTCAGAAACCTTTTTGGCCATTCATTAATATAGCACATGCCGTCACAGATAAAACCACTACACTGAGATTATTATAACATACGTTCTGTCATCCAAACCACTGATCTCAGGATCTCACTTCTAACATTATGCAAACTGCTACACTTCTGTTCCTCTTTGCTCCAGCTCTCGACTGATAGAACTTGCTAGTTATTCTTTCCTCCCCAGTGAATAGTACGTTTACTTAAACCAGGGTCATATTACTGTGACTGCTCTTGGATGATTACAGTAAAATAAAGCAATAAACCCCCCCAATAATTCTCATATAAGGACTTCGATTTATATTCAGTGGCAGTGAGACCCCCACTGATCTTACTTGCAGTGAGAGGTCACATCACATTAATTTTACATTTGGACAAGCTTAATGTTTAGGAAAACAATTTACATCTAACCTAAAGTCTAATATTACTGTGATGTGAAGTCTGAGGACCAATTTGCATACTTAAAGAAAAGCCCTTTCTTTCTAGGTTTGCAATGGTTTGCATTATATTCTAAACTAGATACATGCTTCATATTCCCTTTGTCCCTTTTGGCTTTCTAAAGCTAACCAGACTCCACATACAGGTGGTTTTCTATTACTTGTCTCCTCTGGAAAAAGACACTTTCAAAACACCAAAAGGCCAAAAAGCTACATGCAGGACAAGGTTACTTGACAGCAATACTAGACAGTAAGCCAATTTATTCACAATGTATTCCAAAACATAGAAGAAAAGGGGTGCCTTAAAAGGAAATAAAATGGTTGTAATCAAAACTGACTGGTTCACCAATGCCATACAAGGCAAGCTGATACATGAAAAACTAGGTCCAATGCTCATTTTTCCCTTCTCCACTAGGAAAAACAACATATAAATCAGCTTTGATTCTGGTATACAGAACTCAATCCCTAGTGCTAGCTAAGGTACTGTATGAACAGTCTCTCCTCAAGAACAGCGAATGTTTAAGCGCATCAACCCCACACAACAAAGCCATCACCATCTCTTCTCCCGATTGGGAAAGCAACCAGTAACAGCATTACATTGTTCTTCTGATATGCCAACTGATGGACACATCCCCACTCCCTCTCAGGAACTGGAGGACCATATCTACATTCTGCTGTTTCTTCTCATACAACATTCAGTCTTCCTGTTTGATTCCTGCACTTCTCACCCTGCACCAGCAAATTCATCATCCTCTGACAAAAACAAACACCCAACTGACTTCTTATATATTCAGAACTCTACAGCTGCGTTCATCTTCCCAGGCCATCTCTCTAATTAGGTCATTCTTCTCCTGTTGCCTTCTATTCCACCAATTATCACTTCACTGTAGCCACCTGCATCTCTCACCAGTTTCCTAATTCATTAACTCCTTGGGACAGAGTCCTGCTGTAGACATACACTTTACCTAGGCTCATCAACAGCTTTTAAGAACTGACTCTAATTTCATAAATCCTAAAAGATCATGCCCCTGCAAGAAAAAAAATTTAAAAGTCAGTGGTGACATGGTGTAACTTGGATCAGAGAAGCATTTTTCTATCTCTCTGTTTCTTCAGAAAATAACCATGGGATAGATGATTTAGCAGCTTTCGAACCAAAAATATTAAAAAACCCCATCTGGACAGAGTCCTGGGTGATCTGCTCTAAGTGGCCCTGCTTGAGCAGAGGGGTTGGAGCAGATGACCTCCAGAAGTCACTTCCAACCTCAATACTCTATGATTATTTAAGGGTATCTTCATAGTAGTTGCATAATTTACAATCCTAGAACACAAATAGAGTTGCTTATGTTCTATTTCTCACTGTATAAATTGCACTGGTTTTCATAGAAATTCATAAGGAGTCATCACAAATTTTTCATATGAAAAAATAAAATCTGGCAACAAGTCTATATAAATTTATTCATTAGAAGTTGTGGGGGAAAAAAAGCACTTTTTGGTGTGAAAAAATTCAGATTACAGTAATGTACTACTTTAGCACTAGCCCAATCTGTCAGCTTTATATTGAAGAATAATAGAAAGTTCTAATTAAGCTACACAGCTTTTGAAAAACTATTGAGGAAAATAGAAGAACTGGCCAATATATTTTCGTATATTATATAATTTGCATTGCTGCTTAGTTGGTAGCGAGAAATGATTAAAATTATGAAGAAAAAAATAATATGAAAGTGACAAATGATTGAGGAAACTCAGATCCTCTGGCTGAGCATTTTCACACAAAAAAAGAAAGTATCCAAGACATTAAAATTGCCACAGATGCCACTGGAAGCAGGACAACACAAAATAATTTAAAGACCTGTTCCAGTATCCTCCAACTCAGATAAAATTTTCACTCAGACATGCATCTTACTTATTTGCACCAACAAATGCTGACAATAAGTCTTACGTTATCAGGGGTGGGACTAGAATGATTTATGAATTACAGCAGCAATGAAAGCAAAAAGGTTTAAAGTTCAAGATGGTAACCATCTGCCTAGGAACCAGTCTTTATAGATACATTGCACAACCCACTGTTGAGTTATACAGTAATAGGTAGCAAGGCAGAAATAACCTACTAGATACCTATAGTCATCACTGCAGAGTATCCAGGCCCTTAATGTTTTTTAATTTCAGGTTGTCATACAGGTGCTTTTCTGCAGCCCCTCTACTTCACCCTAACAATTCTTTAGTTAATGGCTTTATTGCCAGGTGATACTTCTATAAAATACAACATTACACTACTTCAAAGAAATTCTATTCCCTAGCTGACAAAAAAACCCAAACCTAACCAAAAAAAACCCCCAAACTAACCACAACCTCCTGCACAAAACCATACTGAAAACTTTAGCCTGAGAGAGTCCTAAATGGCTATGCAAAAACCTCTCTTAAACGTGTAAACCATTTCTCCCCTCCTTTCCTTCAAGAGAGTTTTTTGAGCTTACTCCACTCATACAACTTTGAGCTCCGCTGAGCACTTATTTAGCTGGGTAAATGACAAAATGAGATGCCAGGCAGACGGAGTCGCTCCATATATCAAACACATGACTGCACATGCAGAGTCGCACTCGTGAATGTTAAGGTGGAACTGAAGCTTTCTGAGCACCGGCTGGCAGCGCGCTTGGCTGCAAATGTGAACGCCCCAGGCCTGGACTTCAGCACCTTGCACTTTTGCCTTCCTTGAACTTGACTGGGTGGAACTTTTTTTACATGACATTAAAATAAAATAAATTCTATCAAGCCCTGAAAAAGCTCATGCATCAGGGAATACCCTTCCTCTTCTCTCCCTCCCTTTTTAAGGGTTTTAAGTTTTACAACCATCCTCTCACAGGAGGTTGCCACCTGCTTTTCCGCCCCGTTGGCAGGGCAGCCCCAAGTTCCCCGAGCTTCTCCCGTGCCCGTGGCCCTCTCTGGCCTACAGGCAGCGTTCAGCCGCGGGCAGCGCAGCACCGGCCCCCCCGGCACCAGGAGCCGTGCCCCAGCCTG